TAGTTACACTACAAGAAGACGAAGCTCTCTTTTAAGAAGTGAAGTCAAACGAATGCAAAGGGTATCTGTTCGTTTGTGACATTGCCATCTACCCGGTCATCTATAATGCAGGAGTTTGACTTTCGAGAACAAAACAACGTCGTCGGAATGATACAAGTAAGTGATTTCCTAAATGCGATTTAAAGTTTTGTTTTCTAGTGTCATATGACATAGAAATTATCCAAGAAGTTGCACCCTCTGTAAGTTAAAATCACCATAGAATACAGAGGTGTCAAGAAAGAACGTTAAACTAAACGTTCTTGAGAATTTTCCACCACTTATTTTCAAAATCATATCCATAAAACTTAAGATGCTACAAATTGAGGATTTTAAAAAGTTTATTTTTCAAACTTCAATTGTCCCCTTATATGTGGAATGACCGTTTATTGTTACGTATTCTCTAAATTATCATTATGTACAGTTAAAGTGTGCGCCCGACCTGGCTACGTATATAACAGAGTTTATACTGGCGGATTAGACTAGTTCATTTTTTATATGTGTGTGAAAGCTTTCTCTTATTTGCGTTTTTTCGTTTAGTACGGTTTTGTTATAATTGCCGAGGTCATATAACCGGGATAAAACAATGGTTATCGTTGACTGCGCACACACAAAACATTTACGTCGAGTGAACAGTGTTATTAAAAACAACAAGCTTTAGAATACAAAGCCCAGTAGTGTGATAATAAGCTGTACACTTCCACTGCTGCATGTACATATTAGGGCTCATAAAGAGTGGATAGGGATGTTGTGTTTGTCACTTTTATATAAATTTTACATTTCAAAATTGCCATTTTACATGTCATAATTTCTTGGTTTCATTCGTTTAGCCGATCAAAACATTGTAAAAGAATAAATCGTCTGTTACGTATAATCAATTTTGTTCAGTTTTGATTAGTTGTCAGAATGAAGTTACGTTCATCTGAATCCATGTTTCAAAACAAAAATCATATTTTCTTCACTTCAAAATACTTCAGTGAGATGAATGCTCGGAATTGTCGTTTGCAATAACTTATTGTCGTATTCGTTCTTTTATCTACTCGATAGAAGCATTTAGTCGTACATTTGATGCCAGGTCACCTTCTCGCGCACCTCTTGGGGAGCCCCACATTTGTGTCTGTACTCATGGAAGTAAATTCCCCGGTGTAGCCGAGAGCCACAAACTTTCAACAGGTTCGAAATGGCCAATTTCTCTCATATATACTCATATTTTATTAATTATCACCTACAAAGTATTGCTAATAACTATATGTAATTTCAATAAGGAAACTTATCTGGCTACATCTAAATTCAATATCAACACTAGATGTTCGCTCAACACGTCCTGGCTTACCTTGTGATGACAAACCCTGGGTTTTCGCTATTTATAGTTTATCAACACCTGGACACATGCGCATTTTATAGTTTATCAGGCACTTTAAGCCCTCTAATAGGGATGTTTCAGCTATTCGGAATCTGAAAGTGAGCTTTACAGGGAAAGTGAAAGTCAGATTTCAGGGGTCATGTCATAAGTTCAGTTGCATTAAACGTTTATTGTAACTGATAAATCAATAGTTTCAAAGCTAAAAACATCAATGTGCTTTTTAGAGAATATAGCAAAATTAAAATAATTTCAAGATGCTTTTATTTGTTATTCGCTGTGGATTACATTTATTAGAAATATGACACAGAGTATATTCTCTTGTACTGAATATTACGTTTTGATAGAAGAGTTGATTGAGCTGTTTAAGTAGTCTCAAAGAGATTAACCCTCCTTATACTAAGACCGGCACACAATTCTGTGAGCTTTGCAAGATGTTGTCGTGGGTGGCGAAAAAGTGTACCTATAACCTTAAAAACCTTGATGTGACCAATCACATGCTCTACATAACTCCGCCTACTCCAAATTTTTCTGTTTAGCCGCTTACATTTTTTACGTAAATTTAGGGGTTTTCTGCGTATTTCAGAAATTTTATACTTCCTAAGGAGTGGGTATCGACATGGATATATTTTATCAGCTAATAGTCTACAGTCTTCAGGGAATACTAAAGGTCCCCCGAGCCCAATATTTGCCATATAGCCAAATGTTTTTGCATCATTCATATGACCTAAAAAGCCACTATGGAAAAAACGAAGGTCATTGTTATTATCTACTATTACTTGGGTATGCATACACTTTGAAGCATGCATTAGTTGCATTGCTTATGTTTCTAGCTGCAACACCACCAGAAGGCCTTCAAAGTGAGATAATTCCAACCCTATTGTTTTTATTGGCGCCTCCTCCTGATCCGTTGTTAAATTTTCGTAACAGATTGGGCGCAGATAACAACAATTGGCAAGGACGAGATGTCCTTGGATTATTTGAAAAACACCCATATGAGTTTTTTGAAACTGTTGGTGAAACAGTTAATACGTTTCATGTGATGGTTGGTAATTTTCTGCCTAGAACTTTTGGTATGCGACATAACATGTCAACTCACAATAGACTACTCCTCACATTGATCTGGCTGAGATCGTACCCTAATTGTTATCCTCTACTCTCCCTGATGTTCGATGTTAGCATTACAACTGTGTCACGAGTCATAATGACGTTTGGCCAATATTATGGGAACTATATGCATCCAATGTACGCTGGCCATCTCTTGAAGAATGGAATGCAATGAGGAATAATTGGAATGATCTCCCATTTGCAATTGGCTCTATTGATGGAACATCCCATGAAATTAACAGGCCAGAAAATGAACCCCAAGCACCTTTTTACTCTGGAAATAGAGGATACCATTGTATGCATACCCAAGTAATAGTAGATAATAGCAATGACCTTCGTTATGTCCATAGTGGCTTTTTAGGTCAAATGAATGATGCACAAACATTTGGCTATATGGCAAATATTGGGCTCGGGGGACCTTTAGTATTCCCTGAAGACTGTAGACTTTTAGCTGATAAAATATATCCATGTCGATACCCACTCCTTAGGAAGTATAAAAGTTCTGAAATACGCAGAAAACCCCTTAATAAAAATGTAAGCGGCTAAACAGAAAAATCGGGAGTAGGCGGAGTTATGTAGAGCATGTGATTGCTCACATCAAGGTTTTTAAGGTTATATGTACACTTTTTCGCCACCCACGACAACATCTGGCAAAGCTCACAGAATTGTGTGCCGGTCTTAGTCTAAGCAGGGTTTATCTCTTTGAGACTACTTAAACTGCTCAATCAACTGTTCTATCAATACATGTAATATTCAGTACAAGAGAATATATTTTTTGTCATATTTCTAATAAATGTAATCCACAGCGAATAACAAATAAAAGCATCTTGAAATTATTTTAATGTTGTTATATTCTCTAAAAAGCACATTGATGTTTTTAGCTTTGAAACTATTGATTTATCAGTTATAATAAACGTTTAATGCAACTGAACTTATGACATGACCCCTGAAATCTGACTTTCACTTTCCCTGTAAAGCTCACTTTCAGATTCCGAATAGCTGAAACATCCCTATTAGGGACGTATGCGCCCCTTGTAAAAAGTAGCTTGAGTAAATAGTATTATTTGATAATAGATTTAATGTTTATTTATACATAGTTGCTGTGTCCAATTCTAGCCAACCAGAACGATATTTCATATAACGGCACTGCATTATACGTATAACCAACCGATAGCATCCAAATTCACTTTTCTTTTTTGTTTTAGATTCTAGGAAAACTAATAATAAAACCGCCAAAATCAAAAGCTGAAATCAAGGAATTGCACCTCGATATAAGATATAATTACTAACCTACACAGAGTTGTAACTGTATTCCGCTCTCTCAAATTCTGGTCCGTGTGGGTCTGTCAAAATAGCTGACTATTTTCTCTGTTTGAAACTTACTAGGCACTGAATTCATTCCAGTTATGCTGCTGTATATGTTCGAATTGTTATTGATTATTTATATGGTGGTACCTGCATTCATACCTTTGAATCTAATAATTGATTAAAAATAAAAATAATATCTGCCGACCGTTGCTTTTGGCAGACCAGCATTATTCGGATACACAGCCAGAAAATATTCCTGATAGTTTTTACGTTTTATTGTAATTGGTAATTACCAGGGGTGATTTGTGATGACCATAATGGTTGGTGATTACAACGGGTGATTTATGATGACCATTGATGTTTGGTGAATACCAGGGGTGATTTGAGATGACCATAATGATTGGCGATTACAAGGGGTGATTTGTGATGACCATAATGTTTTGTGAATACCAGGGGTGATATATTATGACCAATGATGATTTGTGATTTCAAAGAATGATTAGTTTTTGTTCAATTTTTTTTAGATTTTTTTCACATTTTTTAAAGATTTTTTTGAATTTCTTCAAAACTTTTTTTTTTAAATTGTCAACTTTTTGAAATTTTTTTTCGCTTGGTTTAGATTTCCAATGGGATAAACGGACAATCCCATGGTTTTGAAAAAATATAATTTATATCCATGAGTTGATATTGATATCTTCACGAGTGAGCGCAGCGAATTGTGATCTTAAGACTCAAAGAATATGGCTTGGGCACTTAAAAATATAATAAAAACGACAAAATGACGCCACCTAGTTGCTCACAATATTATTGATGATTTTAAAAAATGGTCAATTTGAAGCAAGTTGAAAAAAGACCTTTTTTAACTTGGGAAGGTCACTGAAGGTCAAATCTTAAATAAATAAAAAGTCAGATTAAACTTCTGAAAATTTGTAGATAATTTTGAAAAAAACTGAAGTCAGACTAAACAGTATTTGTTAAGTTATTGGAAGTTTTGTTACATTACAATTTGTTACAGACCCTAACTGCCGATCACCGATCACTAACCACCAAGCGCCGTCAAAAAAAGACACCATAACAATATGTCACCACTTTTTGCTGGTGACAATAAATACTACCCCCTCTCCCAATAGGCACCCCCTCCCCCAATAGAGATGCCACGCCCATAAAGACCCCATAGAGAATCACACAATTCTTATATTCAATTGATTTTATTCCAAAATTCATTTGAAAATCATACAAATAGAATTACATCCCATACATTGAATGTATAAAAATGTTACATTAGCAATGTCTGAATTACAAATTGTATAAATATAAAAACATACATACATGTATCTAACGGATTTGGCTAATCATGCCACTGCCATAATTACAATGTAAACTAAATATACAATATATACCACAACATCAATTTATGTACCCCCTCCACCCCTCCTTTCCTTTCCCTGATGGGGAAATCATAGTGAGGTTGATAGTATGTGGAGGATCAGACACAAATGTAAGACTACGTCAAAGCATTTACAGGGTGACCCAAAAAAAAGTTTGTCAATAATGCTTGGATCCTATTGATTTATCTTGTGCCAAATTTTAGGTACAATGTACGTGTAGTTCTCATAGTGTGAATCACAGTCATAGGATCAAAGTGAAACATGGGTATTTCGAATATTTATTCATTGGTTACATTTTTGGGTCACCCTATAAATCAATTAGCTCTGATTTCTGAAAGTTGAAACTTCAAATTTAGAGTAAGTTAGATTATAACCACTCTTGCATAATCGGACATACATATTATTATAAGCAACCCTGTATATTTGGCAAGACATCAATAAACTTACACACATATAATTAAATTTTTGAATAAACAACTGAATAAAAATGACACCCTCTAGATTTATATATAGATTGAAAATATGTATTGAAGACGTTAATAAAAACCTCACATTGTGCAACACATTCAGTTTTCTTTAATTAAAATGACCAAAACATATTTAATGTCAGTTTGATTTTATCTTTTTCGATTTTCCATTTGACACAGGCTTCTCTGGGGCAGATGAGCAAAAGAAAATGTGATAGAATACTGTTAATCCCAGTGCACATGCAAAAAAGATGACACAGATGTATTCCATGTGGTTTGGGAAGGGAGTCCCACATACAGTGTACCAGTCCAGACCATCTTTGGGGGGTTTACCCCCAGGAAGACAATGGAAGTCATAGTAACCTTCATCATAGTTTTCCTTGCACAGGTACTTATCTTTACTCAGCACCTGAAAATAGTTCATCTATCACAAAGTATGGATTAAGATGATATATTTTACAGTAAGATTAATATTAAAATGTCTGTGATAGATGAACTTTTAATATAATTAAGTTTGTCGATTGTGCACCAACAGGAAAAATAAATTAATACTTTCAGGGTATCATAATTATCCTAGGATTGTTACAAAACCATACTAAATGAATCAAGGAGGATTAGCTCCCAGGGATGCCACTCGATATTCTTTCCATATATGGGTATCACATAGTCATGTCGTGAATACAAAATTCAATCAAGAATATCAACCATTCTCCTTGCAGCTGTAGAAATATACAGGCATGAATAGCAATATAGCATCACTTTGGGAGATTAAATATATCAAATTGGAAACCTGGCTTCCAATTGTCCTTAGATGATATAAAGATGGCAGCACAAACAGAATCCAGTATTATCTTTTTACAGATCGATTACCATGCCATCTTTATTTAAAATGATTTCTAACGCCCTTATCCTATTCTTTAAAAATAAGCAATTCATACCATTCCAGAGACAGTCTGCACAGGCTCCTTTATACCACACTTCCCTAAAGGTTCATGTAAGCCTATCGAAACATTCTTCTCAGGTTGGGAGAACAGAACAAGATACATGTAAATACAGTAGTGCGTGACAATATGGAGAGCGAGGCCATCTATCTTGATACCTGGAAGTACAATGAAATGAGACTTCAAGGACAATGTGGATGAATATATCAGGCGTTATTAGTTATTATCCCACCATTCATGCCCAGGGCTGAAATAGAAAGAAAGGAGTACCACTGAACAAAAATTATACGCATTGAACGATATCTCATTTCCCAGGGAACATTGCCGGGCGTTAAAGCATTATTGGCCTGCCACTATAATCAGGTCAATATTAAACAAATACTGGATGATCAGGAGCTGGATATGGCAGAATACCTATTCGAGAAAAAATATTGGGCGAGGCGGCAGCCGAGCCCAATATTTTTTCGAGGATAGGTATTCTGGCCATATCCAGCTCCTGATCATCCAGTATTTATTTTATTATGCACCTCCCAATCAAAGTTAAGTGGAGTACTTACTGGAGTACAGGCTTAAACTGTCGTTTAGTTGACATTATTTTGACATTTATTTATTTTTTCTTTCAAAACTCAGACGACCTCCGGCCAGTTTATTCGCTACGCTGGACGGAAATATTTGCCCCGGGAATTTAATTTTTATTTATTCGAGACGTTCTTGCAGAATTATATGTAACTTTTGAATGATAAGGGTAATTGTGATTGATTAAGTGCATTTTTTTCTTCTATTTTCCGCCAGTTTCAGATGTAAGCTTTAAGTAGTACTCCAGTTATTAAGAAATAAAACTCTGAAGTGGGAATGTTGCAAAAACATTGAAAAAAATATCTGACCCTTTTTCTCGAAAGGGTCAGATATTAAAAAAATATCCGGCAGTTTTCAGAAAAGAGCAGAGTATTGCCAAATTACAAGCAACTAAGAACCAATCAGTTTTGAGTATTTTAATGAGGTGCATAATAAAGTAAAATAAATGGCTTCTAAACTTGTAATATACAGGGTGTCAAAAAACAACGGCACTCCCCTCTACAGCAAAAGGTACTTAATGTTACATGGTGTGTCATATCTCATTTTAAAGACAATTTAATTCTGGAGTTACCTGAGAAATATCAGCCTTATATCATATAATCTTACAGAAATACAGCTGATTTTTAGTAGCTGGTATGACCACCAGTTGCTGCCCGAACATCAGCTTATCTGGATGGATATGATTTCAATAAAAATTCAGATAAAGGTGTAGCATTGCATAATCCTCTTAGCACTTTCCTCACATTTTTCAGAATTACATCCTTACTGTATCTTTTTTCAAGAGGCTCCTTTTCCATCAATTCCTATACCCTGTTTTCAGAACTGAGCCCATGTGTTCAGTGTAGTTTGAATCTGGGCTAATTCTTTCATATTTTACTTTCTTAAGATTTGACCTTTAACCAGTATCAGAGCAGCGAACAAAGTACCAAAGTAGCAAACTTTGAAACAATGTAGCTTTTTTAATATAAAGCTTTACTAAATGAAATTTGATGAGTAACTTTAGAATTAAATTATCTCTCAAGTGAGGTATGACAGGATATGTAACATTAAGGACCTTTTGCTGTAGAGGGGGGTGCCGTTGTTTTTTGACACCCTGTAGTCCATCACATTAAATCAGAAAAAATCTATAAATCTATCTTCGTATACTGCAGTACCTTCAATTAAGTTATTATTTGTGGAAAAGTCCATGCTATTTACATTTTTAACATTGTTACACATTTTGACATTTACAGAAAAGATTCTCAAAATGTTATTGAAGTTGATTATGTGAGTGACAGATCATTTCAAGGTTATCAAAGATCAATTGTAATTTTGTGAACTATTCTTGATAGATATCCAATTTTCACCAAGATTCTATAAGTAATTGTTTTATAGGCTCCTATTATATCCATCCATGGCTAAATCAATATCATGTTATAATTGTTTAGAATCCAATAGTTCATTGGTGCAGTATAATAAAGACACTAAAGAAATTCATATTGCAAAAGAATGTATGGTTTCAAACACAGTACTTCAAATGTCTTACTATAGATTCTTTTAAATTCTTTCTACATAATTAATTTATTGTTGATTACTTTTTGGATATTTTTTTGTCAGCAATGCATGTCCCCTCCATGATGCCTTCTTTCTTAATAATGTATTTTTTCTCAATGATGCAGTATTTCCTGAAAATGCATATTTTCTCAACATTGCATTCTGTCTTGACCATGCATTATTTCTCAACAATGCATAACAAACTCTTGCTATATCTTCCTTGACATAATCAGAATGATTTTCCACTAACTTTGAATCCCAATTTACAAAATGAACAATCACATTTTTCTTAGTTATTCTGTAAAAATCAGAGACCCCGAGTGAATGAGTTTGCTGGAAGTGGTATGTACTTTGTGCAGTTGCACCTAGGGAATCCACCAATGCACCAATATAGATATCATCTGGAAAGGCAATTGGTGTTCTACAGAATAAAGCATTCAGCTCAACAGCTAAATCCATGGAAATGGCATACCCTGTCCCTGTATTAAAAGGTGGATATTTGTTAGTAGGCCATTTCACTGGACTTCTAAACTGATATTTTCCTTCTTTATATTGTTCTGCCATACTTTGAGTATCCCCAAAATAAAGTCGAGTTTTTCGCTGGGTATCAAATAACTCTGCCCATTTTGTGAGTAGAGGGATGTTGACCACTGTATCGTGAGTTACTCGCATGATTAAAGAAGCATTTGAGCAAAATTGTTGGGCCCATCGAAATGCTGTCATTGTTTTGTCAGTAAAATGGTTATAGCCATCACCAAAACTTCCTTGAATGATATCACCGTAGCGATGGCTTTCCAGTGAAATGTCAATCATTCTGCTGCTATTAGTTGAATTTCCAATAATAAATCCGAGTCTAATGCACCAACGATTGTATTTTTTTAAGTGTCTGCCCCATGTGGCTCTTATTGCATCTCGAAATAAATGTCCACTTACTGTAACAAACAAAACAATGAATTATTTATATAATATAATGAATACAAATCTAATGCACCAACCATAGTGTTGTTCCATGTGGCTCTTATTGCATTCCGAAAAAGACTGACTGTAATAAACAGATCGATGAGTTATTTATATAACAATAAATCAAAGTATCATACACCAACCATAATAATATTCTTGTAAGTTATTTTATCTCAAAAAGCATCCACTTACTGTACAAACATATTAATGAATTATTTAAAGTGATACATTTAATACTGATTCATGGTTCAACAAGCAATATATGGTGTTTTTAGCACATGATCGATTTTATTTCCTGCCCCATCCCATTTTCTTTGCCTATTTCGAAAATATTATATACAGGGTGTGCATAAAAAACTTTCATTTTCATTCTGCAATAATGTGTTCTTAGTACAACATAGATATTATTGTATTTATGTTTTTTTACACTCAATCCTATTTTCTTTACATATTTCGAAAGGGTGGGCAAAAAAATGTTGACATATTTCATTTCTATCCCAATGATCATTTAGAACTATCCTCTTAGCTATGGTTTAATTTGAAGTAATCTCTTTGTTTCTGAATATTTAAGTTTTGATCTATCACATAATTGGTCTAGAAGCATTTTGTGAGTTTTATTGATGTAGTCTCCGCAAACTTTGAATTCTTTCTCTAAAAGTTGCTATGGTTCACATATTCGGACCAATAAACTAAAGAGTAGAAGTTTGGTGTTCAAATGTAAAAATTCAAATTTTGCAGATACATGTATGAGGCATGATTAGCATCATAAATAAATCATTTAGATAGACATGAAAAATGTAGATTTGTTTTGGTTTACCCTGTACATGAATACGCTGTAGCATTGAGTTCATGAAAAATAAAAAAATGACCCATGTTAATCTCAGTTAATTCATTTTTCGAATATGATTAATTTATAACCATAAATTAAGACCTCATGTCCCCTTGAAAACCCATGTTTAAAGAAAATATAATTTAGGTTTTAGCTTCATACTATTTACATTATAAGTTTGTTACTTACCTAATGTGTCTGATATTACGAGAAGCACAATCAATTTCTCAGAATCATTTTTTCCTTTGCACAAATCCTTGGCAGGATGGATGTAGCGAAATGCGTCTAAGTATACATCATTGTTGTATGATAAATCAAAGAATTCTTGCGCCTGCAAATGTTCTGGTTTCAGAACAGTCTTAGGCAGGTTTCTTGTCAGCTCATGACAAGGAATAGGTGTACTAAAGTATTCCTCATGACAAGGAATAGGTGTACTAAAGTCCTGTTTAGGCAAAATTCTATCCGTTGTACTGAAATTTCTACTGTTAATGCTCCACCTTCCTACATTTATATTTTTTTCATCCATTTCTAGCAAAGCTCTACTGAAGCTATCATTGTCATGCTTTGAACTTAGAGGTCTTACTAATGTTTTTGTTTTCTCATTTTGAATTCTTAATAAAAGTATAACATATAAAGGAAATGAAAATAAACTTAGTATAAAAAAATATGATAAAATCCGCGGCATCTTGAATCATGCAAAAATACAAATTCAATGCAATATTTTTAAGCCATGATAGATTTCAAGTTCACCATACGAGTACAATCAATATTCTGTAAAAGCTATTCACAAATAAGAATCTTGTAGAAAACTCTAGGGTCCATTAGTTGATTATTTTAAAGCTGATAAAACCATTAAAAGTGATGGAAGATCTATTTTGTGATTGAACAGTATGTTCACCAAAATGATCCATAATTGATCAATTTATTTGCTATATCAATTGTAATTCAAATATTTCAACTATTTACATTAGCATCTGTGTTGAAAGTAATACTAGAGTGTGGACAAAGCATGTCTATTGGCACTTGAATTAAATATTAATAAGTTCTAATAACTTGATTCTATCTAACATCTATATAATTTGAAGTAAATCCGATAAGGGTATGATTTTCTTGGCAGTATTTGAAAACAAATATGGAACACTGTCAATGTGAGAGCTAAATGGTGTGGTACTAAAAACAAGGCAAATAAGACATGCAGACCACAACAGAGGGTTACCAGACAACTCATTCCTGACAACTCATCCCCTAGACGATTCATCCCCTTGACAACTCATCCCCTAGACAATTCAATCCAATCGGATTAAATAACACTTATACAGTATCTTACTGCATTACGTTATTGGATATATTCTAATTTGTATAACTATCAGATACATAGTTACATAAAGGTAATATGAAAATTGAACCAATAAAACAGATGAATATTTAAGTATAAAGGCACTTTCTACAGGGTGTCAAATAAGTCTGTTCTCCCCCCTTAACTTTTTCAATTCAGAAATAATATAGGGTTAGTATATATCATCTTAAAGGGAATTTAATTTGCTGATCACACACCAAATTTCAGAGTGATTGGTTAAATTCCCAATTTTTAAGAGTATTTTTAGTGATATCCATATTTCACTTTTTAATAGTCCGTATGTCTCTCCCAGAAGCCCGGATGGTCTCAATTCTACGAGGATATGATCCTGTATAAATCATTCAGAACATTTGATTTTGCCTGTTATCAACTATTTTGTAATCTAAATTGTCCCTGCTTCAAAAGCTCACCTGAATGTAACACATTTTACTCTGTAACGATATTGAAAAACATTGAAATCACCCAATACTGCATTGTCACTGCAGTATCAACTTTTCACTTTTTGTTCACTATACCTGGTAATTTCACTTGTTTTGACGTAATCAAAGGTCGACTACAACCTTACAAGAAACATTGTAGCAATTTTAGTAGGAGGAGTTTATGATTGATTTTTTGAGGGTGATCAGCATTTTCCATAAGCTTCAAAATGATATATGAGAAAGTATGATTAATTTAAAGATAAAAAAGTTAAGGGGGGAGAACAGACTTATTTGACACCCTGTACTATATCCGCCATGCTATCTGACCCAAATGAGCCACCTGGTGGTGAAACTGGTAACTATATACTTGCATCGGAGTTATTCAATTCAAACAATAATGTGCAAATTGCAGTTCTGAAAATGCTGTGGCTTTAAAATCAAAAAGCAATTGCAAATGGTTACCAGGGTTACAGAAATACAATATTCAAAAATACTGGCCTTTAGAAGATCTTGCCTCCGGGGAGGGATTCCTGTCACTCTTCCACACAATGAGTGTGTACGTAGTCAGCAAAATGAAAACACAGACCTCAGTATGGATGTGGAAAACGTCATGCAAGGTGTGGTAAAGTGGGATAAATTGCAGGCAGCCCATGGGCATGGAGAATATCCCAGGCAATAGTGTACAGACCAACTCCACTGGGAAACTGAAACACATTATGTTGTTATAATTAAGCATTAGGATAGTTCAACAATTAAAATACTATATTGTTTGAATTGCAAGATCCTAAGATTTCTCCATTACTTTCATACAGGTCAAACAAATACAGTTTTGAGCTTCACATGTAAATTACACATGGAGTGGTTAGCAAATATTTTGTAACAATGTACTTTGAAATCACAATTTTAGGCTATGATTTTTATGTTGGGTAGGATAGATTGTGCAAAGAACATGTAAAAACATTAAAATGCAAAGTTTCACCAAGTGCCATTTGTTACAGATGCTGACAACCAAACACCAACCGCTGAACTCAAAAAACCATCCACAAAAAGTTTAAGACTATGACAATATTCAGAAAGGAGGTTACAACTTCCCTGAACCACTAAGATGCATCTGATTGGCTAAAAGAACTTCTCCATTTCTCTCCATGTTACCATCACTTTGAATGTGACTAATAATGGTACAAGATACTGGTCACAGAATGACATGTGGATGGATGGATGAATGGATGGATGGATGGATGGATGGATGGATGGATGGATCTGAAGATTTGCTATGGAGAATCCATAAAAGCTCTGGAAAAATCCCAATGAAAAAGAGTGTGATCCCCTTAGCAGACAAATCTGACAATCTCAACCCGTGATAATTAGATGAAAAAGTGAACTTACGAGGCAGACTCCCACTTGTTGTTAGTGTTGCTGAACAGTCTTCGTGTTCCATGGAATATGAAACAAAAGCTACTCGCAAAAGTGGCATGGAAGTAATAGCTCGTCCAAGGAACCTAAAAAATACATGATAGATCATTATGGTCGTTTTGGAGTGCATAATAGAGTGAAAATATCAACATGAAATAAAACAGCCAGTTAGTCAACATTCTAAATTGTACAGAAATGCAAAAATGTAGTGATACTGCGTGGAGTAAAACTCTAAGGTAAACCTCCTGGATGGAAGTTTTAACCCAGAACTGTATGCCATGTATGTATGTTAGTATAAAGTCTCATTCTCAATGGTGTACACCTAATTGTTTTAACTTTTTTCTCAGAGAATATGAAGTATTTTGTTGAGCTAAACTATTTTTAAACTAGCTATTAACATGACAAAATGACATCACCTAGCTGCAAAAAAAACTGTAACAATTGTTACGGATCCCAAATGCTGACACCGATCACTGCATGGGAGTCACAACAGTGGTTCTAACAATATGAGGATATCATACAGGCCCGTAGCCAGGGGGGTTCGGGCGCCCCCCCCCCTTCCCCCCTGGCCAAAATTCCTTTCAAAATCATGTTTTTCACCATCCTGACTATTTTGCCAAATTTGCCTACGAGCCTGTCATACAAATGTATAAAGTTTTACCCAATAGTGTCTGTCATATATGTTAGGGTCTGTATCATGCCAAGTCCACCAGAGGAGTTTGATTCCCATGATATCAAATGGCAGATCTATCATCACAACCAATAGGCCCACTGGAAAAACAATCAGAAATATAAGTTTGATTAGTTAGTACTAATAAAATCCTATTAAATTATAAATTAAATTATGATATACAATGAGCGGCAAAAACATTCAGAAATATACAATGAGTAGAGAAAAAACATTCAGAAATATACAATGAGTAGAGAAAACATTCAGAAATACACAATGAGTGGAGAAAACATTCAGAAATATACAATGAGTAGAGAAAACATTCAGAAATATACAATGAGTAGAGAAAACATTCAGAAATATACAATGAGTAGAGAAAACATTCAGAAATACACAATGAGAGGAGAAAACATTCAAAAATACACAATGAGTGGAGAAAACATTCAGAAATATAAAATAAGTGAAGGAAACATTCAGAAATACACAATGAGTGGAGAAAACATTCAGAAATACACAATGAGTGGAGAAAACATTCAGAAATATAAAATAAGTGAAGGAAACATTCAAGTTCATCAGATGTAAAAAATACATTGATTCAGCTTTAGAGGGCCCCTTAGAACATTTACTATGGATCATATAAAATTCCATGGAGTCTGATGGATACAATATATAATGCTTATTCTGATCGTAAGTTAAGCAATACTTTCTGTTTCTGTCTGTCTCGTGCCAGCCATCATACGGACCACATGGCAGAAGAGAATGTGGATACTCCACATAAAAATGTGCAAATGGATTACTCTTAAACACCTAAATGCAAGGCAATAGACAGGTATAGTCATTCTTACTTGCAAAGGGCTCAGCCCAGGACTTCAGCTTCAGTCTAGAGACAGCTATGGCAGCTGTGTATAGCCAAGCTGGGTCTGTAACAGACAATATGTGAATGTCATTTTCTTTATTATATTTGTGAGATTTTAAAATGCAGGTCCACCTGAGTAGATGACTTCTCAACTACTCAGAAATCTTTTCATGAAGATCATCTCTGAGGAGATAATCTGCGATATAATTTTTCACTATAATTTCTAATAATTAATAACCAAACAATAAAATTATTAAAGGATCTACACATTTCTGAAACTCCAATAGCAAAATTACAAAAATGTGTTATTTTCCAAGAATAAGGTTTTATTTAACTACATTTAATCTTTTGACCATATTCAAGTTTAAAAATATGAGATGTACATATGTACATTGTACGTATAACTGTTAGGAATTATGACTGTATTTACTCACAAAGCTTACATGTACTTACAAACACACATGATGTGCAGGGGAAGTCTTTTTCCAAGAAGCATGACAGTAGACTGAGCATGCCAGAAGTTGTCAATGTCTGGGATGAAATAACTTAATGACTCCACTGTTAAGCCATGTAGTACAGTACCTATCCAAAGATACTTGTATCTGCCTCCATGCTTCAAAGCTGGAAATAGAAAAGCGTTAAGCGTTTAAAAAAAGGCAATAAAAAACATGCAGTCAATTTTGAGATTAGGCGAAAACAGGTACATACAAGGCATTAACATGCAAAATGTCACCACTTGTCATTTGTTACAGACATTGACTGCCAAACGCTAAGTGTTACAGATGTTAACCACTGACCACCGAATACAGTGGCAGGGCTCTCGCCAGGCTTTTAGACTGTGGTGCAGCACCACACTCTAATTAGCTCCCTCCACACCCAATTGGCAAATTATGACTGTTTCCACAGTCTAAACTTGACTGAATATACAATAATAGCATGTAAAAAGAATAAAAGAATAAAACAACATAAATATGATTTATCACGATTGAATGGATATTCTGCAGATGTTTGCACCACACCCTAAATATTTCCTGGTGAGAGCCTTGCGTGGTAACATAAAAATCAATGAATTTAAGAGCTCATAGTATCCAACATACATGTACTACATGCATATATATGTAACATTTTAATTAGTATTTGATTATGGCAACACATGACCTCATCCAAACCAAACAACCAATCAATCAACCAACCAATTCATATACTCACCATGTTGTAGAGTCAGAAGAGCAAAAGTGATGAATGCAACCTCACAAAGCAAGAAGCTTGGGTGTTTCTCTAAGATATCAAACCAACCAATCAATGACTTCATGTATTCAATATATACATGTACTCACCATGTTGAAGAGTCAGAAGAGCAAAAGTGATGAATGCAACCTCACAAAGCAAGAAGCTTGAGTGTTTCTCTAAGATATCAAACCAACATGAACCAATCAATGAGTTCATGTATTCAATATATACTCACCATGTTGTAGAGTCAGAAGAGCAAAAGTGATGAATGCAACCTCACAAAGCAAGAAGCTTGAGTGTTTCTCTAAGATATCAAACCAACATGAACCAATCAATGAGTTCATGTATTCAATATATACTCACCATGTTGTAGAGTCAGAAGAGCAAAAGTGATGAATGCAACCTCACAAAGCAAGAAGCTTGGGTGTTTCTCTAAGATATCAAACCAACCAATCAATGACTTCATGTATTCAATATATACTCACCATGTTGTAGAGTCAGAAGAGCAAAAGTGATGAATGCAACCTCACAAAGCAAGAAGCTTGGGTGTTTCTCTAAGATATCCCTAGGATCTCTGAAGGCAATCAGCCAGTTCAGAACCTGAAATCATAAAAAGATTACTTCATTATTTATTTTAATTAGGTTGGATGTTTTGAAACATATCCTTTTGGGGGAACTATGCTAATTTCTCTTTCTATATAAAGTACAAACTATCAACTGTATCGATGGTACCATGAACATGTACCAATGGTACCAACTACATGTATCAATGGTATCAATTATAAGTACTAACTATGGTTCCAACCACATACACGCCCCATCTAAACTCTGAAATCAGTACCGTGGGCTACTGTATACGGTATATGTACATTTAGAGTATGGTACCATTGGAGTACTATTTGGTACAATTTTAGCATTATGGTACCATAAGGCACCGAATGCACATACACGTAGTACCCAGTGGCAGATCCAGAAATTAACAAGGGGGGCCCAAATTTTGAGTCTGGAAAAAAACTTTGGGCCCCTAAAACCAAAAACTGGGCCCAAATTTTGAAAAATTAAAGCCGATTTTTTGAAAAACGAAAAAAAATTCTGGGCCCATTAAAGGGGCCAGATCCGCCACTGTGTTTCCATGCGCCCGGACAGTCCAGCCATAGTGAACACCATCCATTCAATCAGGGATTCTAATAATTGACTGACCTGTAGAGATCAATGGATGGTGTTCACTATGAGTACGGCAAAATTAACATAAAATACCCTTTGTATTCGTTCGACTTCACTTCTTAAAAGAGAGCTTCTTCACTTTCAGTTAACAATAAATCTCGGATCTCACTGAGCCAATCAGAGTTCGTCATCGAAATACTGACGACTTTCTATATGGTCATTTCGTCTGACATCATCGCATAGTTAATGAGCACGCATTTAGCACGACGTGTTCCTTCAACTTCGCTGATTGGTTGAAAAAGGGTCAGCGTGGTAGATTTGGAATGATTTATTACCCAGGCTGTCACAGGCACCAATCTTCGGGGCTGGGCTGCTAAACTGTAATATAGTCTATACTAGGCAGATGGTAGTTCTTCATAACTACACCACGATGCCCATGTCAAGCAGCGTGCCTACTAGGCACGCAGTTTGAAACTCTGACAAACTGCGCGCATATTTCAAAATGTGAGACGGGGAGGACACGACTCCCAAAAAGAGCCAAAATACGAAAAATACAAGGTTAGTCTCGTTCTAAAGATAGTACCATTCTGTGAAGATGAACTTAATTTACTCATAGTACTCAATGTTTTTCCCGATGTAAACCTAGTTATCTCAATATAAGGGTCTTAAGTAACTTCTGTGTTCAAAATTTACAGTGTAAAGTTATATCTATGTCTTTTATCGTCATTTGCCGTTTATTCAGCTATTGTGTCTGTGTATGCTAGAATATATAGGATCACTCCATCTGATTAAATCAGCAAAGTTTGTGTTCAAAACGACAATACGCCATAAACGTGATTTAAACATTTTTCTTGTCAAACTGCGCGCCTATATTCACATGTATTTCCCAAACTGCGTGCCTAATATTTCCAAACTGCTTGCCTATCCAAGCTTGTTTTGTATTATTAGAAAACATAAGCGCCATACAAGGCACATATGCGTCTAATAGTAGAACCCCATAATTGAAACACCAAGATGGTGATCTGAAAATAAAAGTTTTTTTCGTTCCCAACTTAATTGTCACTTCTATTATACATTTTGACTTTCAATATGCAAATCTCATAAAATCTGACGATAAAACAAAATTTCCAAAGCTACATGAAAAACACCTACACGTGCCTCTGTAGAAATTCCAATGATAATATGTAGTTTTAATAGTGTATGCGCACAGTTTGTAATTTCTGGCTAAAATAGGCGCGCAGTTTGTGATTTATTTCTTTATAATCTCCTGTTTTATCTCGAAATATTTTGAATTATACATGATAAATGTGTAAGGAATTAAATATAAAACGAGTCTAAAGTATTTGTCATTTATGTTTAAAGTGCTAGATCGATTTACGTATAAATGAGTCTATTCTGGGCAAACTCTACGAGCACATAACTTGTGATAGATTTGTCTGGTTTGCAGAAACAAATAACCTTTTTTCTGAATTCCAGGACTCTTACAGAATCTACAGAAGCTGTAACCACACAATCCTCAGAATCACACAGGCGGTGCAACAAAGCTGGAACAAGCAAGAGACTGTAATTGCGGTAACAATAGATTATGACTCTTGTTTTGAGAGGGTGTGGAGGGACGGGCTCATAGCCAAGCTCTACAATAACGGAGTGAGGGGCAGACTCCTATGCTATATCTCAGAATACCTGAACAACCGCCAATACTCTTTAACTGTAAATAAACATACATCAGAGCTGAGGACATCAACTGTAGGATTGCCTCAGGGAGCTGTGGTGTCCCCATCCCTCTGTAATGCTTACACCGCAGACGCCCTAGCAGGAATAAAGGCAAGCCATGGAGAGTATGCGGACGACATAATCCTATGGCAGTCTGGGAAAGACCATAACATCATAGAAGAATCACTCAATGAGGACCTAAGTAAACTACAATCATGGTGCGAGACATGGAATATGAGCATATCTTTGCACAAATGCAAAGTTATAGTATTCTGTCCACCAGGAAAAACTAAACCTATAGTTGACATTAGGTTAAACAATATCTCATTAGAAGTAACAGAGTCAACCAAAATACTAGGCATCACTCTAGACCAAAACCTCAAGTTCGATGAACACATTTTAGAAAGACAGAGAAAAGGCTTCAGTGCTCTGAAACAGATATCCAATTTCACTAACACTAACACAGGTTGCTCACAGTCAGTGTTCTGCAACCTATACAAGAGCCTTGTTCAGCCAAACTTAGAATATGGAATTAGTATAATTTCCACTGTAACAGATAAAGCTATATCTGCCTACAGATCTGTACACAGACAGGCACTATTAAGAGCAACTGGCTGCTTACAATCTACAAGTACAGAAACTCTCGAAGTACTGACTAACACACTGCCACTAGACATACTACTCAAGGCCAGACAAGCACAAGAACTTGCTAGAATTAAACTGAAGACGAACTCCAGTCCCATACACAGAGAACTAATACAGTGGACCAACAACACTACAAATGAGAAAAAACCTACAACATTCAGTATTCTCAAATCAAGACTCAGAGAATTCTGCAGAAACACTCCGCTAAACAACTTGGAAATTGAGTTCTCATATTCTAAAGAATTCAACAATTTTGAGGAACTTCAGGTCAAAAGGGAAGTCAACGAATTCTCGAGAACAAAGTCTGCACAGCGTAAAAGAATAGCAGACATAATTAACAATTGCCCTGACAATACAACTGTAGTGTTCACAGACGGCTCTGCACTAGGAAACCCAGGCCCTACAGGAGCAGCTGCCATTGTATATTTGCAAGGCCTCAGAGGGGAACCAATCTGCTTAGAAAGCCCCATAAGCTGCTCTAGCAACAATTACATAGGAGAAGTCAGAGCAATAGAGCTCGCCCTCACATACGTTGATAAAACACCACTGTGTAGGGATATACTACTTTTTGGCGACTGTCAGCCCGCTCTAATTTCTGCGTTTGAGACCTGTATACCCAAAAATCAAATTGAATCCATCAACAAGATCAGAAATACATGTAAAAATCTCACTCAAAAGGGTATCAAGGTTAACTATTACTGGGTACCAGGACACCTCGATATCAAAGGAAACGAGCTGGCTGACAAACATGCCAAGCAGGCGGCACTAAATGCTAAGGCACTAAGTCAAGATAGCAGAATAGTTACTAAAAGTGAAATATATAAACAAATACACACATCATCAAAATCAAAGTGGCAAAGGCAGTATAACAACTCGAAAAAAGTTGGATACATCCAGAGGTCTATTGATTCTGTCGGGACAAGAACCCTACTAGGTGAATCGAACAGAAAAACCTTCTGCATCACTAACCAACTTTTGAGTGGACATACCAGATTAAACAGCCATATCAAGAAAATTAACCCAATCCACGACACCAACTTATGCCTAGACTGCAACAAACCAGAAACTATAGATCACTATTTATTCAAATGCAATAAACTCCAAGAATTACGGGAGAAAGTGCTTCACGATGCAGTCTGTATCTTACTTGAGTGTGAAATTATATACACACTAGACTTGAAAACCCTGGCCGGAGAAAATCAAAAACTCCCCAACAAAATCAACAGGAAACTGAACGATCTATTCAGAACTTTTATCATAAAGAGCAAAAGATTTTAAAATTTTAAAAACACATATGTTAGTTCAACTAGATAAGGATTTTAAGTAAAATAAAAAAAAATTAAAAAAAAGAGACTTCTACAAACCATCAGTGTAAAACTTACAAGTGATAGCACAGTGTGGAAAACAAGCACCAGAGACTAAACAAAGGTGGCATCAAAGCACCTAATACAGATGGACATAAACAAACAAACATAAATTCCCGTTAAATCAGTGACAAAAATGCCATTAATCTGCTTATGTTTTAAAACTTAGATTCATTTGCTCATAGTTTTTGCTAGTATTTGCAAGATTCGTATATTTGCCACAGAATGAACGCATTGAACAAGAAAACAATGCAGGATAAATGTCTTTAAATTACGTTTCAAAATACAGACTCCAACTTAAATGATGCAATGTTCTTAGGCACGCAGTTTGTGATCGAAACAAACTGCGCGCCTAAGTAGGCACGCAGCTTGACATGGGCACCGTGTACACTCTGCAAGCAGGGTACATATGAAACAGTTACACTTACAACTGAATACTCCCGGGTTATTTAGAATATACACTGAACAAAAAGACCAATGACATAAAAATTCAAAAATCAGTGCTTTGTTTGTGATTTTCTGTTTTAACAACACCGTCAATCACAACAAATATGGTACCAATGCATGCCGTGGATGTTCATCAACATTATGCAACCATCCTGTTCTTGATACATTTAAGGTTTCTTACCTTTTTATTGAATAATTTACTGACGTGATCCATTGTCAAAGTTCAGCTTCTGCAGCCCGCCAATGAGATAGAAGTATCAAACGTAATCCGGCTGGCAGAAATTGAAAAATCGAAAAATAATTTTTTCCTTGTTTAATTGCTTTTCTTGGTCTTTTATCCCGCGAGGTAGGTATATTCTTTTGATAAAAATATATCTGATGTATTGTATAAACTATTGTGTGTGGTTTAGGAAGTATTCAGGCTACTACTCTTTTCTGAAAAATAGTAGATGACAGCGAATGTCATTGTCAATGACAATTGCAGTAGATTGTCAGTCAGTACCTGTGATTCATTGTCATATTTCTCTTGGTTCCTTGGCTACTGTATACCTGTTCAGTAGATATTTAACATGGCTCTGCCAATAGCAAAGGATCACAGTGCAATATTTTATGGAAATGTATTCATACTTTTGCATCTCACTGTTTAATATGGGTGGTGTGACCGTGATGTAATATACATGTATATTTAGTGAATCCTTTGTTGTGCAGTTAAAATATCGCTACACCCCTTTGAAAGGACCACACCCTTATGGTAAGCCCTGATTTCCCTAGCAGTGACTTACCACACCCGGGTGCAAATGAAAGGAGCACACCCTTATGTTCAGCCCTGCTAGCAGTGACTTACATGTACCACACACGGCACACAGGTGCAAATGAAAGGACCACACCCTTATGGCATGGGCTTTCAACTCCAATTGAAAGCCCATGCTTACATGTATGGTCAGCCCTGCTTTCCCTAGAAGTGACTTACCAAACACGGTTGCAAGTGATAAACCAATGACTAATACCACATCTGACACCAATGTAATTACCCAAGTGTGCCCCAGGGGAAAGACTATCTAATGAGTATAGTGCAACAAGCCAGATAGATTAAAGAAATTGAAAGAAAGGTTGCCAATATCAAAGCCTGTGTGGGAATCGAACCTAGGAGCCTTAGATCCAAAGACTGATGCTCTACCGACTAAGCTACATGTATAAAGGCTTAAGCCATGTAAGCTGGACTGTAGCAACATCTTATTCATAGTAAATGATATGACTGTTTAAAATCACTTGCCATACTATACCTGGTCCTTTAAAGAAATCTTTTTATTTTGTAGATAACTGAAAATCATGTGATAACTGATGGCTGCCAAATACTCCAAGCTGGCGCAGGACGATAAAGACTTTGTCACGGTGGACTTTGGCTCTGCATTTTCATATGGGTATGTTGGATGTACATGTCATAAGGGTCAGGGGTTTGAACAATTACATTATGTATTGGTAAACAGTAAAACCTGTTGAATGTACATGTACATGTCATAATACATTATATAAAGTAAACGGTAAAACCTGTTGAAATGGAACATGTTTGGTACCTGTAAAAGTGTTCCACTTATGAGGTGTTCCACTCATAGAGGTTCATTTAACATTACATCAGTTTGTCTTCAGCCTCTGAAAGTGTTCCACTAACAGAGGTGTTTCACTGTATATTACGGGTTTCACTGTATATCAAGGGTTTCACTGTATATCAAAACTAACTTAATGAGCCATTTAATGAGACTGTATAATTGCTGCAGTATTCCATGTAAACTAATACTATTACTAACATTTTCTAAAATTGAAAATTTGAAATTAATAATTTAATGTTGCAAAAATTATTACAAGACATACCCAGAGTACTATTTTGAGGGTTGGCTAACTATTGGATTCCTATAAAACCACACAAATTGCAATGTTTTGTGATTTCCAAACATGGCATATTTCTCATTTTAAGAACATTCTTGCAAAGTACTACATGGAAGTAAACTTGCTTCCAGGTCCACCACTGACTATAGTAAGACCACAGACTATAGTAAGACCACAGACTATGGCTTCTCCGGTCAAAATCATCGTCAAGGTGGCAAATACAACTCTGCCTTTACATATACAAGATCTCATAAAGAAGACTTAGAGGAAAGTAGGTGAAATCTTGATGTACCATTTTAAAGTTCATGTAGAAATGTAACAATACATGTATTTACTCCCCGAGACATCATTTTTATAGTCTTTTACTATTTTGTGGATGCTGTTTGGTGATTGGCAATCTGAGTTCGGTGTCTGTAACAATTTGTTTGTGTGTGTAACAATTTGTTTTTGGTGTCTGTAACTATTTGTTTTTGGTGTCTGTAACAATTTACAATAATTTACGAGGTGGTGACATTTTGTCATGTTAATGCCTAATGTTTAGAACTGTTCAACCTTAAACAACTTATAAACATCATGGTTAGGGGGCCAACATGCAAGTCATCTGTAGCAGTGAATGGACATGAAATATTTAAAGGGAGCATCCATGGCTTTATATTTTTACCCAGAATTCTTACTTAACCTTTGCAACTGCAATTTATGCATTAAAAGTTCATTATATTACATGTTTATTTTATATTTTCAGCCGTTGAACAAGAATGCATTCACAGATATTGTTTCCACGTCATAGTAATCGTTTGTCAAATTCTGATTCTCGTTACTTTCCCAATATCTGGATGGTTTGCAATAAAGGTAATATTTCAATTACCCTTAAGCCTGGTGTTAAGTACTGATTGCTAAACTCTGACTAATTTAATGAGTTCAACTGCCAGCTGGTGGTTTAACCTACTCATTTAAATATGAATTAATAGTGGCAGGTATTATTCATATTTAAATGAGTTGGTCATAAAATAGTAGGTTAAACCATCAGCCAGCAGTTGAATTCATAAATGCTACATAGGATAAACCCCTTTACAATTTTGATGCTGATAGAACCCCCAAAGAAGTAGAGATTCAGTCTGGAATAAATGCCAGCTACTTATGAAAGCATAAATGTTGACCTAATCTGATTGGGTACCTGGATTTTGACCTATTTCAATTAATCAAATGATAATCTCTTGTTTTGCTTATATTTTCAATGTGCTCTTGATAAATGCATCTATATATTTTAGTATCATCTTGAAGAAAAATTAGAAATATTTTAGAAAAATTTCTAATATGATTAAAGCCCATGGTTTTACCTTTGATTTTATCCCATCGCTTCTCATTTTACATTTGCTAGAAAATACAATGATATTTGGACATCCATTGGGTATGTTGTAAATAAACATGTGTCTCCCTCTATATTTCAGAAAGTGAAAACTGATGAGAGGTACATTATATTCAGACTGGGGCGCTTAATTGGCAGCAAAGGACCTGGTAAGATTTACATCCATTGATTCATTTTATTGGTGCATTCTTTTTACAGACATTGCATTTTGGGCACTTTCAATTTTAGACTATTGATGTGTCTCTAAAATTATTTCTGCATGTGTGAGATTCACAATCTCATGTTCCGTTTTTCTTTGCTTTGAGAATATTGTACACTCCAGGTATTTTGGAAAATGACATCTCAATTCCATATTTTCATTTTAAACTATGTATTCTACCATCCATAATGTGTATAAATATCTATGTAAAATGTGAAAAGTATTAACCATTAATTATTGGTAATTATATTGAGAATTACCTTAGTATAATTCAATAAGCTGCAAAAAAATAATTATTCTGTTAAAACAAATAATGATATCACAGACAAGCTTTTCTATACTTTTTAATATTTAAGTGTAAATGCTTAGAGCTTAATAAAAAATGATATTTTCAGGGTACATTTTTGTCATTCCTGTCGTTGATTCATTCAGTAAAGTGGAAGTCAAGTCGAAGTTGTTCAATGTGCCTCCGCAGATAGTAAGTATCATTTACCATGGGCTTTCAACTAATTGAAAGCCCATGTTTTAAATTGTGTGACTAAGATTAAATTAGATTTGTTTGGTTTATTAAATTAATCTATTCCTTAGTTTTGTCATTTTTAGCTCATTGTTTTTATGCAGGTTCATACAGAAGATGGGGCCATAGTTGAATTAGGGGCTGAAATATACTTCCACGTTGAGGATGTCATCAAATCAGTCACATGTGTACGAGATCTACAACATGCTACGCGAATGATCGCAAAAACCACAATAGCACGTCAACTCCAAAAATGTGAATTAGATGACGTAGAATCTCATAAGTAGGTTTTAAAGGCCCCATGTAGTTTTTTAAAATTAGCATCAAAATATTACTATTAAAGGCTGTGTTTGTGAATTGGCTGTCTTTAAATATATTTCTCTTTTAATTGCTTAAGTTATTCCTTTCAAATATATATTCACCACTGCCTATGAATGTGTAATATAAAATTTTTTACTCACTCTGTAAATATTGTTTGAATGAATTGATTCTGACTTGTCAGCCACAAGCTGTTTGAAGCATATGGCCTATCATACATATTACTATAGTAAAAGGGATGTTATTGGTAATGGGCACATCATGTGAACTTTAAACGGGGCCTTTAATTTTTCTGATATATTTTCCAGAAGTAACCTGAACCTCTCTCTGCAAGTTGAGATGAATGAAATGACCAAAAGATGGGGAGTGGCTCTTGAAAGGGTAACTTTGTAAGTACATTTAAATTGAAAAAAAACATCGAAAAATCAAAATATGAGCCTCAGTCAAGGTTATTTTGTTATGATAGTGTCTACTATAACATACATGTATATATGATATCCAACATTGTAAAGCAGTTGTGAGTAATGCAATTTTTATCGTACTTAAAAAGTGGAATATTCTATTCGTTTTGTGTTAATGACTTTAACATAATGGAAAGCAGACAAGTGCTAAGATATATAGGCATGCTGGGTAATTAAGGTGGCCATTTTGAATTTTAAGTGTGTGATTATCAAATTTGAATTTCATATTTTTCAGATCTGATGTTAAAGTTCTTCAAAAACCGCAGGAGAATAATTTTGTAAAGGATTTGTTCGGTGGACCTCAAGCTGCCCAGAATGCACAGGGGCTCATGGCGACATTATTTTCTGGCGTCAACCCCCCAGCACCAGCTAACTTAGCATCTCCAGGTTGATACTCATTTATTTACTTTTACCATGTTGTAAATTCTCTAATATTTGTGTCTTGAGGAAGCTTCAGAGTTTTGTTATTAAGTTAAAATTACTGATTTTGACATAATGTTTAACTGCAACATGCACCTATGTGCTTTTTGGGGCTTTTCAACCCTCCTTCAAAAAAAATTGACATCTGAAAAATTAATTTCAGGAACTAGTCAACCAAATGGTGGAGCCTCTACAAGTGGAGTCTCGGACCCCTCGGCACCATCACAAGTCATGAACCCAAGGATGTTAGTGAGGATAATAAATTCATCTCTTACAGAGGGTCTTGTTCGAAATATAGGAGCCACATACTGTTTTGAAGTCAGTGGAAAAGATGGTGGCTTGTTTTATCTAGATCTTAAAACAGGTTTGTTTGTTTCTTTGTTTGCTTGATTGTTTGTTTCGTTGTGTATGGAACGTGTAAGGTGGTAGAATGATATACCTTGTCACGATCATATTGTTGTGTTTTTGTTTTCAAAACTGTTTAATATGGAGAAGCAAACCAACTCTCCAAAAAGCTTTTACGAGCCTGAAACAGATTAAAATTCCACTTAAAGTTCTCATAATAACTATAGTTTTAATTTGATTTCTAAAATTACAGGAAGTGGATCTGCTGGAGAGGGAGTGCCACCTTTTGGCAAAGCAGACGCAACATTGACATTAGACTCGGAAGACTTGGAGCTTATGTTTAGAGGACAATTAAAGCCGTTCCAGGCATACATGAGTGGACGCCTGAGAGTTTCCGGTGATCTGAGTGCAGCTATGCAGCTTGAGGAGCTTGTAACGATGATAGTAGGACAGAATAGCCAGAGAACTTAATTTATGTTCTGTAACAACCCTGAATTGCAAGTTGCTACTACAGCTCAGGTGTGGTGGATTATGCCCCCTGGCTCAGTGGTAGAACATCAGAATTTGAACCAGAAGATCCAGAGTTCAATTTCCACATGGGGCCTTGAATTTAGGACACTCTTTTATGTCTTATCTGGCTTGTTACGCTATGCTCGTCACTTGGCCATTCCCAGAGGCACCCTTGGGTCGTAACATTAGTATTGCCATGTGACATGATATAGATGTTGATATACATAAGTGTTATGTACTGGGAGGTTTTGGATATGGGGTTTATCCAGAGGGAGATATGCATATCTCACGAGGGATACACCCGATATCCAAACCGACCGTACATAACTGCTTTATCCTATACCAAGTAGAGTTTTCAGGGGCATATGGCCATTTCAATAGTACAAGGTGTAAAAATAAACAAATCATTCATATGCAAAGTCATTTTATTGCATTACCGGAATCGGGAAGATATGCACCGGAAGCGGGAAGATATGCACCGAAGCGGGAGATATGGAGGTTCTGGATATGGAAACCTCAAAATCAGGATACGGGATATATCTTACCAACTTATCTCCCTAAAACTCGACTTGGCATAGGATAAATAAGTGTTATGTCCTGGGAGGTTTTGGATACAGGGTTTACTGTAGCTCTTTGGAAATATCTCCTTCAGGATAAACCATGTGTCAAAAACCTCCCAGTAGCTACATATATATCCATATATGTAAATCAAATGAAGTTAAGAATATGCTAGAGTCTGTAAAGATGCAAAATGAACCATACAATGCAATTAAACCAAAGATAAACGTATTCATTAAGTAAACTATCTTTATAAAATCATTGATTAACTATACAGTACATGTATATGTATTAACAGTGTCATTTATAGCCTTGTTTTGAAAATATCAGAGTTTAAAATATGATCAATGAACTTTATCTCGGGAGGATTTTGAAGTTTCATATTTTAATGACATATGGTTTAGATTGTTGTATATCTCCTACATAGATTGGTAAAATTGTATTATCTTTAGGACAACTGTAAATGAGTTTGTTCTGAACAAGCAAATTTCCCATTTTGCGCATGAGATCTACATGTACTACATGTGCCACCTATAATGTTAAATCCACTGAATTCATGCAATTAGAACACATTCCATTATAGTCTAAAGTGTCACACTGATGTATGCCTATTGTTATTGTGTATTTGTTGAAATGTTGTTAGAGAACAACTTGGAGTCTTACTTGCAATTAAGAAAAATGCTATTTGCGGTGTCTTATTGTATTGTATTGTATTTTATTGTATCAAAGAAAACACATTCATGTTTGTTTAATTTATAATGGCCAGTCATGAGGTCGGTATGGCAACTGACTAACCAAAAGATGTGTAAAAACATGTGTATTTTTCAGACATTTTTCTGGGGAACTTAACTCTTTAACTTATTGCTTCGTCTAATTTTAGATCCTGGCTTACCCCTTGCATATAATTTTCTGACTACAGTATAGCTAGTTGTACATGAAGGTAGTAACATGAGTATTTTCTTAGTTTAGAAAGGGTTTATTGAAATATACAGGGATATCTAGAATAATATAATTGTTTATCTCATTTTGGAAAAATAAATAATTGGCTTGGGATGTAAACAATCCTATTTAATTATTTTCATGAATTATTTAATTTAATTTTTGTGAATAATGTTTATTGTTCAGAAGACGTGCTTAATTTAAAATTTAAAACAATTTTATTTCTTCAATTTTTTCATAAATTCTTCTGAGAAAAGAAATTGTTTTGTGTTTATATTTGGAAATCTTTGAATTAGGGGAAAGGCTGTAGTTTGCATCATGATGAACCAAGATATTTTTCTAGCAGAGATTGTTATTTGAGAAGGGAGAGGCGTACCAGAATGATCCTTTTGTGACTCCCAAGGATTCAATTGAAAAATATGAATATATTTCTGTAAATTTTTTGTGAGGCAAATGCCTGAACTGCCTCATGGCATGGTCTCCATTAACATTTAGTTATTTTCAGGTTTTTGCTGCCTATGTTTGACACTGTTGTTCTTTTTAATTAATGATTGACATTCAGAATGAATTTTGAAGTTTTTTCCCTGAGCACTGGTTGATCAAGGGGGGGGGCCAAAATTTTGGAGGGCCTCAAAAATGGGCCTTTTGGGCATAACTTGGCCTTTTTAGGCATAATTATCAAAAGATGGGCTTCTTTAGATTTTCAAAATTTGTTGACCTGGCTTGAAATGCCCTCCCCCCCTTGAAATGCCCCCCTCCCCCTTGAAATGCCCCCCCCCCTTGTCAGCTTCTGGTTACGCCAGTGCTGAGTATAGAAATTCCGTCCTTTGTTAATATTTCAGTACTTCTGTGACGGTTTAGAAGCACTTCTGTGATGATTTAGAAGTACCTCTGTGATGATTTAGAAGTACTTCTGTGATGATTTAGAAGTACTTCTCTGTGAAATATAAGTGTTTCATGTAAAATGTAGCAGCATTTTGTGTAAAATGTAGCAGTGTTTTGTGTAAAATTTAGCAGTTTTGTGTAAACACGCGGTCCTAACTTCGACCGTTAATTTGAATTTTTGATCTACCGGATGTTTGAAAATCAAGGATTACGAGTCTCATACTGCACCGTTTTTCTTCAAACTTGTTCCATTCAAAGCATAACACAAATCCCTTTCTGATGGTGCATTATTCTCTTCAACAGAGTCCCTACTTCCAGCGGCATTTTGGTCCCCAGTTGTAAGAAGGCCTTCTAACAGGTGGGGACCAAAACGCTGCTAGAACGAGGGACTCTTTACAATAAAGTAATGCACCGACAGAAAGGCAATTTTGTTTTGCTTTTAATGGTATAGGTTTGAAGAAAAACGGTGCAGTATGAGACTCGCAATCCTTGATTTTCAAGCACCTGGTAGGTCAAAAATTCAAATTAACGGTCGAAGTTAGGACCGCGTGGTAAAGTGTAGCAGCATTTTGTGTAAAATGTAGCGGTATTCCTGTATAAGTGGAAAGGTTCTCTGTAAAAGTTCTTCTGTTGCAGTGAAACTCTGTGCAATAAACAGTGAATGTGATATATGACTAAACTAATTACTAATTAAAACATATTATTTACAATAATTGAATAATTATTGAAACAATAAGATTAAAAATGTATATAAATATAGCCTAATAGAAATTACCAATTTTTAGATTTATACAGAATGTGTAGTTTATATATTGTTATGAAACACATGTTATATGACTGTATATTGTTTGTATTGTTTGAATGTGGAATATTTTACCTTATCATTAAGTATGAATAATTATTCATCAAAAAATAAATATATGATTTCATGAAATCAGGTTAAAATTAAATATTGTTTGTTTAACTCATAGACAGTTAAAGTGAAATGAAATTCACACATAGCTTGGCAAGGTGTGTCGGATTCCAGCCAGTATTTCATGTATAACTGAACTGCATTATATAATCAATAACTCACCCAAGGTCATTCATTGAATGGTTGTCAAGGTGACAACTTGACTCTGCATATTGAAATTGATGCTTTACAGACTTGACCCTTGCAAAAAGTTTCACTGAATATATGTTCTTTTATGATTTCGTATCTTTTAGGTGATTTCATGGAAAATATTTTGTAATGTGTAAAAGAAATTTAAGCCCAAGACGTGGTGCATTGTGGCTGATTTATTTCACTCAGGTGTTATTTCTTAAAATTCAAACTTTTAGGTTTAAAGTTTTTTTATTATCATTTAAACAAAACAAATTACAAACACAGCAAGGGCCGAAGCAATGCATTATTGGCCCTGGTAGTCAAGAATTTATATAATGTAAAGTGAAGTTGCAATGAGATTTAAGGATCAACTCGGTAATGCAGAACAGTATATAAAAATAAAAACTTACTCATTTAAAATAGTAACAATTAACTGCAGAAAACCTGCAGTCATTTCAACAATTTTCTGATTTGTCAGATACGATAATGAGCAATCACCGTATAACAAATAATTTACCCTGTCTTGCTGTCTGAGTTGACCAAACACGGTTAAATCAAAGGATGGCAGTTCCCCAAGTTCTTCCAAAAACAAGTTTCGCTGAACAATGAATAGAGGGCAGTGTAATAATAGGTGCATTGTAGACTGTGATCTAAAGCCACAATTACAACTTGGAATATCAATGTTTCTAAAATTATGTGTGAATAAATGCTGCCTAAAAATAAAGTCACATCGAGTCTTATTCAAAGTTGATTCAGTCTTCCTATCAAGATGCAATTTTGGAGTAGGTAGCTTTATTTTAGAATTTTGAATATGTTTCCTCAGGTTAAACTTAAAACAATTTCTAGATTGGATAGCTTTCAAATCACCAGGCAGTTTCTCCCATGCTGTTATACAAGATATCACTGTACCCTTTCTGATCTTGGCCTTACAGTGAGCTGGTATTCTAAAAGATCTGACTCTGCGTAACCGATTTCCATTATTCATTACATTATGATTTCTATATAAAGAAAAGGCCTGGTTTACATAGGAAGGCATTTTGTTGTTATTTATGACGTCATAAGTAAACAATAGTTTCTTTTCATCCCTCCTGGCCCCTAGGGACCTCCAACCTAAGCATGAGGTGACTTTGGTTGCATTTGTACCTTGGGTACATCCACTGACAATCAATGCTGCCCTATACTGAATACTATCCAATTTAGAAAGTAAATTTAAGTTTGCACAATCAAAAATGATATTCCCATATTCTAAGTGAGGTAGTATAAATGCCATATAAATCTTCTCTAGATGTTGTGATCTTAAGTTATGTTTTAGTGCCATAAGTGGGTTCAACATCCTGTTACATTTAACAATTATACTGTTAATGTGTTCTTCAAAGTTTAAAGCCTTGTCTAAAATAAGTCCAAGATGTTTGTGACTATTGGTGAAAGGGATAGAGTCACCATTTAACACAATAGGAATTTGAGCAATTGGAGTTCTAGTTTTGCACTGGAAAAACACTTCCTTACTTTTACTTGTCTTAAATTTTAATTTCCAAGTCTTTGACCAGATCTCTATTCTATTAACATCGCTTTGGAGTTTTAGATAAGTTTCATGAACTGAGTCCTCCTTTTTGACAGGTAGAAAAATTGAGCTATCATCAGCATAAAGGTACAGAGTGCTATTTAAAACTGCATCGGCTAGGTCATTGATATAAAGTAAGAAAAACAGGGGACCTAATACTGACCCTTGAGGAACCCCACAATTTATTACTCCTTTGTCAAACCCCCCTAAATCCCTTCCTCCTGTCCCTAGAATCCCTTCCATTGTCCCATCAATATTGTCATATAGAGTATCTGAATTTATTGAAGTTGTACCATTCACCCTAACTTTTAATTTTCTGTTATTAAGGTAGGACCCTATCAGATTAATAATGTTCTCACAGATACCGTATGATTTTAGCTTATGGAGAAGTAAGTAGTGGGGGACGCATCTCGTTCAAAGGGTAAAATGATACATTTTTTGAGGAACGATTCAGTCCAGGGCTTGAATCCTTAAACCACAAGCAATTTAGACACAAATACAGTAAAACCTGCATATCTGAACACCTCTCTAACTTGAACACCTCAATATGAACACCTTTTCCTCATCCAAATTTAATATTCTCCCATTGACTTCCATGTTATAAAATTGATATGGAAACACCTGGTATTCTGAACACCTTTGACTGCAATATTTTCATTTTTTGAAGACCTTTGGTCAGTCCCAGTAGGGGTCAGATTAGACAGGTTACCATAGAGAAATATTCATCATGATTATGAATAACTTACATGACTTAAACAATCAAGAGACTTGCTCATTAACATTCAGAGCCATACTTTTATACTTTATATATTACAAATACACCATACACTTTATTTGTTGTTAAATCTATGACTCATTGCATTGCAATAAATGATTGAGACTTTACTTCAGACTTGTTCTTATTGGTGTGAGAAAAAACTTGAGCAGCTCAGCTGACCAAACAGTTATCAATTTTGCAAAGCAATCAATAAAAGCAAATATGTATTTTCACCAGATCAGAACTTTTTCATGTTATTATGGCTAATCATTTCTCAAAATGTTATTTAATTGCATTACAGATGAACCCTACTCCCAAAAAATGTAATAAAAATGAATTTTTGAATTAAAAGTATATCTCCCTTGAAAAATATACATTTACAAAATCTATTTGACGTCCCCTCACTTCAACCATAATTATCGTAATCGTAGAGTTTTACAAACACATAGTACTTTGACCTTGTTGAATGTTCTATATAACACAAGTAGTTGGGTCTCCTAATTAACATACATTACAATTGTTCAGATCAGTAAGTATTCTGTTGCAGTGATATTTTTATTCAAATTTGTTATTTATTATTTACACCAGTACATCGGTCACAAAATTGCATTGTTTCTGTTTATTCATATTTTCATTAAATATAAACTTTCGTGCTCAGTAAATGAGAATCAGTTCATATATTTAAAATATACAGGGTGTTCACAAAGTCTCTTTACAAATGTTAGACTTTATGGACACTCTGTATATTTTAGTCATGAAAATTGAGGGTTAAAAATCAAAACATTTGTGACAGTCTTTTTTACTATTTTTACCAGTGGATATTTGTAGTTTCCCTGCTGAAGAAGGGTCCAATTATTGGTTGTATGAAATAAGATTCAAAATTCAAATAAGAAAAAACCTGTCCGAGAACAGCCAGAGTATTGGTCCCCATAGACAGAGAGTTGATTTAACATGTAAGGCAATGGGACTTGGTTTTTTGAAAAAATATCCTTATCAGAGGTGTACCATCAGACAAAAACAAGTTCATGCCGATGCAAGTTTAAATAATTTTTATAAAATAGATCTACCCTTGTACTTAAATTTTAAAATTTGTGATTTAGAAAATGATTCGCCCACTAGTGCCCTTGACAGCCATAGCCTTCTGCTTTAGTTTGACATCAGCACAAGTGGTTTATAGGTAATCTAAATGTTTAATTTTCTGTATATTCAAAACAAAACTGATCTGATAAAATAAACAAATTTCATTAATTTGCATCTCATTTGCCAACTTCTCTATTGAATCATTCTGTACAGTGCATATGTAATCCATTGACTTGAAAACCATTTTGATTTTATCTTTATATCAACTCAATTCTATCCTATAAATCAGTTCTGTACTTCACTGTTCATACTGCTGACTTAAAATCAAGCTGACTTCCCAATCCCAAAGCATGTTTTTAAGCCACTGCCAATCATTTACCTCTGAAATGTGATAATGATCATTTTACCTCATTAGGTGCAATTGTGCATTATTCCGGGAAAATGGTTTCCTGGATGAGGTCAATCCATTACTAGATAACTTAGGCGCCACCTTTATTGATCTTGGTGAGCGTACAGAGTGTAACAATGGGGATTTGACGACATGCGACCAATATTGTAGACAATACATAAAAGATGAGGGATTTTTTCTTGGATTTGATAGTATCAGAGACGGGGTGAGATTTTTAAACTCATCCACACTTAAATATTGTGTTATTAAATATGGTGTTATTTATTTTGGTTTTTGATCCAGCAATGTAAGATGGTGAACTGCCGAAACTGAGGTTTTCTGAAACACTCAAACCATTTTTGGTAATCATGCCATATTACTGGATATTGATTAGACCTATGATGTCATAAGTTGTACATTGCAACTGTAACAATATAATTGCAAGTGTTGCACTGTGATGCCATAGGTTGCAATTGAAGCATAGACTACATTATCCCAAACAAAATTCCATTTTCACAGCAGAAAAGAAAATCTCATCATTTCTAATATATTTAATTTGCAACATACTTTCCTTGATTAATTCACAATGTACACTATAAAGATTGATTTTTGATGTTTTCTTTTTACAGACAGAAACTTATGGAGAGCACTTCTGCGAACAAACAGGTTTATTGAACCCAAATGACTTGCCTATAGAGACCCCAGGAAATCCTGTGTTCGCCTTCTCCCGTATGGAGCAATGTACAACGATTGATACAACCTGGTTCACTTTCCCAGATTCTCAGTTTGATCCACCATTCAATCTTTGCTGCGATGCAGCGGGACAATATGTACCATGTAACTGAGTTTGAGACACCAATGTCTGCATCAGAATATTTGACATGTCATCAGTTTGATACATCAATACATATATTGAAACAAGAAAACATTCATGTTAATTTGACAATAATAAACAAGATTGCCTTGGTGGACACATAAAAAGACATTTTTCCATTCATATCATAACTAATGAACAGACAATAGAATTCCAGTGTTTTGAATTGATTTATTAATGATGATCCAGACTTAATGTAGCTTGTTTTAATAAATAACATTTTTACACTTCTGCTTTGACATGCATGTTCAAACATTATTCCATATTAGTAATACATGCACTATATCAGCTTGCTCAAACCAATTCGAAATAACCAAGCGTTAAATGTAGAACAATTTCTGTTCAAATAAATACTAGACTGTTTTCTATTGAATTGGCACACTCCACTGTTTTGGTCAACATTTTAGGGTAAACTTTTTTGACAATAATTTAAACTCAGTGGGTTTAAAAATCATCGTCATCCTCATCAGCTAGGCCTCGCCTACTAAATCCTTTGCCTCTGTAATTTCTTGGCTCGTCTTCCCACTCATCACTAAAGTCTCGCCTATCTCTTCTGAAAGGCTTCCTATGACCAGAAAATCTAGAATTACTCCTATCATAAGAATCATAATTTCTACTGTAGCGATCATTTCGATCAAAACGATTGTTAAATCTGTCATTTCTGAATGATGTCCGTTCAAATCTTGACTCAGGGGCTGATTTCTCCATTCCGCCATTCATTAATATTGACATAGCGGCTGCAAGTATTATTTTACCCTTAGGTGGGGCTAAGTCTAATTCCTCAAGCTGGGGTAAAATGTTTTTGATATCGTTTTCTCTGACCTTCTTTACACGTTCTAGAATGTCTTGTACCATATATTTGTTCATATCTGGAGCTTCGACGTGCTCAAGTTTCACCAATCGTTCAATCTGAAGGGAAAAATATAAACAGTCATATAAATTAAAAGCAATATATTGATTCAGGGTCAACAGGTCAAATGCAGCAATGTGTATCCAAATTGATTGGTATCAAGCATATTGGGGAAAAAAATGTTCTGCATACAATGAATAAATGTTCCAATGTTTTAGACCACCCTGTATACTTTGAGCATGAAGATTCACTTCAAATACTTGCCTGTGATGGTCAATTTCTGGATGATGATTCTACTGGATGCAAAGAACAGGCAGATTTCAGCATATAAGATTTTTGCAATATTGTTTAATTACCTCTTTAACAAGAAACCAATCTCTCCCTGAATGTAGAAGAACAGCCACACCATCCCTTCCTGCACGTCCAGTCCTGCCAGATCTATGGATGTAGAAATCCGTTCCATTCTTAGGTGGCTCAACTGAAAAAGAATGTTCAATCTTGAATACTCACAATATACAGAAATCCTCATGATCAGTCTATTTCAAGGAAATCCCTCATGGTTTGACTTTCACAATGTTCTCTCTCTACAATGTTCCTGGAATTCTGATATCATGATTCGCCCTTTTCAATGTTCGTGGAAATTTTGATGTCAGCATTCCCCATTTACAATGTCCTTATGTCATGATTTCCCCTTTACAATTTTCTTGAAAATTCTGATGTCCCCATTTACATCGCGGCTCAGTTTCTGGAATTCTGTCATAGTTCTGGAAATTCTCATGTCAGGATTCCCATAATTACAGTTTGTCTCTAATTTTTTATGCCAGGATGATCATTTCGAATGCATCTAAAGATTCTGACGTCCTGATTCCCAATAACTGGTACAGGTGGCTAATAATGTTCTTGAAAAATCTGTTGTGAAAAGTTTAACCTCAAAACCATTTTATACACAGGTTCAGACAGTACAATACTACTACAATACATTTTAAGACATAACACCTATATTTAATTTTTTCAATAGATTTAATATAAAGTTTATATACCTTGTATTATGAGGTCAGTTTCTGGTATATCTAGCCCTCTGGCTGCAACATCTGTAGCCTACAACATGATATGCAACAATTGTATGATATGATCATGGGATATACTTTTAGGTTATGTCACAATCATGGGATAATCCCAGGGATATGCTTCTAGGTTATGTTTTGATCATTGGATATACATGTACTTAGGTTATTTTATGATCATGGGATATGATTGGGTTATTTCATGTTCATGGAATATACTTGAGCAATACAAACAGGAGGATATCTTGTTATTTAAATTAACCCATTTGAAACAAGAGAGAAGTCAATCAACTTAGAAATAAAGCAACCTGTAATGCTTCAGTTTCCTCAACCAGGTGACCAACTGGGAGATTACAAATTTGATCAGAAAAAATTAACATGTGAAATGTCACTACCCGCAATTTGTTACAGACACCGACTGCCATTTGTTACAATTGATACAGACGCCGACTGCCGAACACGGTCCACAAAAAGTTGGAGACTATAACAACATGTCACCACTTCTTGTGGTGACACAAAAACAGAACACCCTAGCAAAGACTGCCTTACACATGGGAAAATGTAGATGATGATATCTTACCACTAAGACTTTGATAAGGCCCTTCCTAAATGCTTTCATAATGTTCTCTCTGCGTCTCTGGGTGCAGTCGGAATGTATAGCCTCCGCCTTTAGTCCCATGGCTTGCAGTTTATTAGTAGCCTCCTTGCATTGCACTGGAATAGACTAAACTGGTTAGATATGTATCACCCATTTAGCTACTAAAAAAGGATCTAAAGAATATTGTTTATTCTATGAAATTTGTAATTTTCAAATATTACCAATTAGCTGATATTTCATGTTGTTTATTTAAAGTGGTTTCATTTTTCAAATATTGCCCATTGTGTTTTCCGATTGCTATATACCTTTGGTAGCCATGAAGACAATACACCTCTCTGCTTCATACTGATCTAAGAGATGCTTTACAAGAGTAATGTGGTGAAAGCTGGGGGCCTTCATGCATATATGTTTCACAGATAAAGGTGTTGTGAGCTTCTGGCTTCCTGCTATGTCGACATGAACTGGGTCATTCATATACCTGAAAAATACAACACATTTGAAATAAGAAAAGCTCACGTGCATATGAGATTTTATCCCTTTCCCTATTATTATACAGATATTTACAAATTATCACATATCTATAGTGGGGGAAGATATGAGAGTTTATATCCTGCCTTTTACAACCCCCCTCCCTCCACAACATCCATATGAATAGATATGAGAGTAACTAAAATAAAATTATGTGCTGCCTTCACGACCCCTCCCCCTCCTCCCCTCTACAACATCCATATAAATAGGATCATTCATGGACATGTGAAATATTGTGTATTTAAACGTATCAGTTCCACAACTAGTTACTTTGACAGAACGTTGATGTAACAAAATGGATGAACTTTTTGGATTCAAGTCGATTTAAACCTACTTATAAGTTAATTTGCAGATTATAATTTGGCAGAAAGTGAGACAATATAGTCTAACTATGATTAGTGGTGACATGCCTGCATGAATGTAACATATTTAATATGAAACTTACTGTCTCGTTATCTGTGTGATGTTTGGAGGTAATGTGGCACTGAACAGCATAACTTGCTTCTCCCTGGGGGACTCCATTAAAATATTTTCAATTTGTTCCTGAAATTATTGTTTACAGTTTGAGAAGTTAGAGAGTGACAGCAGGTAGCATCCATCCATACCAAACAAGGTAGACACACAGTGAAAGATATTGCATTTGAGGAGTGAAACATCAAGTCATAGAGTGACAGCAGGTAGCATACATCCATACCAAACAAGGTAGACACACAGTGAAAGATATTGCATTTGAGGAGTGAAACACCAAGTCAGAGAGTGACAGCAGGTAGCATCCATCCATACCAAACAAGGTAGACACACAGTGAAAGATATTGCATTTGAGGAGTGAAACACCAAGTCAGAGACTGACAGCAGGTAGCATCCATTCATACCAAACAAGGTAGACACACAGTGAAAGATATTGCATTTGAGGAGTGAAACACCAAGTCAGAGAGTGACAGCAGGTAGCATCCATCCATACCAAACAAGGTAGACACACAGTGAAAGATATTGCATTTGAGGAGTGAAACACCAAGTCAGAGACTGACAGCAGGTAGCATCCATTCATACCAAACAAGGTAGACACACAGTGAAAGATATTGCATTTGAGGAGTGAAACACCAAGTCAGAGAGTGACAACAGGTAGCATCGATTCATACCAAACAAGGTAGATACACGGTGAGATATTGCATTTGAGGAGTGAAACACCAAGTCAGAGACTGACAGCAGGTAGCATCCATTCATACCAAACAAGGTAGACACACAGTGAAAGATATTGCATTTGAGGAGTGAAACACCAAGTCAGAGAGTGACAGCAGGTAGCATCCATTCATACCAAACAAGATAGACACACAGTGAAATATATTGCATTTGAGGAGTGAAACACCAAGTCAGAGACTGACAGCAGGTAGCATCCATTCATACCAAACAAGGTAGACACACAGTGAAATATATTGCATTTGAGGAGTGAAACACCAAGTCAGAGACTGACAGCAGGTAGCATCCATTCATACCAAACAAGGTAGACACACAGTGAAAGATATTGCATTTGAGGAGTGAAACACCAAGTCAGAGACTGACAGCAGGTAGCATCCATTCATACCAAACAAGGTAGACACACAGTGAAAGATATTGCATTTGAGGAGTGAAACACCAAGTCAGAGACTGACAGCAGGTAGCATCCATTCATACCAAACAAGGTAGACACACAGTGAAAGATATTGCATTTGAGGAGTGAAACACCAAGTCAGAGACTGACAGCAGGTAGCATCCATTCATACCAAACAAGGTAGACACACAGTGAAAGATATTGCATTTGAGGAGTGAAACACCAAGTCAGAGAGTGACAGCAGGTAGCATCCATCCATACCAAACAAGGTAGACACAGAGTGAAAGATATTGCATTTGAGGAGTGAAATACCAAGTCAGAGACTGACAGCAGGTAGCATCCATTCATACCAAACAAGGTAGACACACAGTGAAAGATACTGCATTTGAGGAGTGAAACACCAAGTCAGAGAGTGACAGCAGGTAGCATCCATTCATACCAAACAAGGTAGACACAGAGTGAAAGATATTGCATTTGAGGAGTGAAACACCAAGTCAGAGACTGACAGCAGGTAGCATCCATTCATACCAAACAAGGTAGACACAGAGTGAAAGATATTGCATTTGAGGAGTGAAACACCAAGTCAGAGAAGCAGGTAGCATCCATTCATACCAAACAAGGTAGACACAGAGTGAAAGATATTGCATTTGAGGAGTGAAACACCAAGTCAGAGAAGCAGGTAGCATTCATCCATACCAAACAAGGTAGACACACAGTGAAAGATATTGCATTTGAGGAGTGAAACACCAAGTCAGAGAAGCAGGTAGCATCCATCCATACCAAACAAGGTAGACACACAGTGAAAGATATTGCATTTGAGGAGTGAAACACCAAGTCAGAGACTGACAGCAGGTAGCATCCATCCATACCAAACAAGGTAGACACACGGTGAAATATATTGCATTTGAGGAGTGAAACACCAAGTCAGAGACTGACAGCAGGTAGCATCCATTCATACCAAACAAGGTAGACACACAGTGAAAGATATTGCATTTGAGGAGTGAAACACCCAGTAGATTTACATACAAGGTCATACCCTTGAGAGTTAACAAAAATAGTTATTTTCCAAAAAAGATGGAATCAAAAAAAATCATTTGGGCAAAAATGTTGCTAATCTTCAGATTGAAATTGAAATTTGCAGAAATGCTCAGTTTTACAGAATGACAATTGTATATCAAGTTACGTATCACAATTGTATATCAAGTTACGTATCACAATTGTATATCAAGTTACGTATGTGTGAGGATTAAACTTACTTTGAAATTGGGTGTTAGCAATTCATCAGCCTCATCAAGACATAGGAATTCAAGTTCATCAATCATCTGAAACAATCAATCAAATCTCAAAATAAAAGAATTATCTTGGTCACCTTGGAAATATTGCTCTTGCCTGTGCATCAATGTGAACCCAAATGTGTATTGTATGACAAACAGGCTTAGTTAGGTCAGCATGTAAAAAATAGAAGCCTGAAGAAAAAAAACTGAGGCCTGACTCAGGCCATATATTGTACATGCATTCCCCGTAGTTCATTATCAACATTTTTCAACATTCCAAAATTATATCACATAATGATCAAAGAAAATTGTCTAACCCCCTCCTCTACCTTTCATGAACCACCCACAAAAGTCAAATAAAGTAAGATTTACCAGAATGTACAAAAGAGAATTAAGACTGAAGATCCAACTTACAATATTTCCACGTTCTATATGGTCATTCAGTCTTCCTGGAGTGGCACATACAACATCAATGCCTCTGTCAATCACCATTTCCTAATAAATATAATAAAATATAAGCTGCATAATGTCAATCAGATGGATGCGAATAGGACTTGAGCAACGTATTTATGAAAAGATAATAAATGGGCAGTGTGTCTTATAAATTGTGCCATTAAACAAGCGATCAAGCGACTTGGTTATATTTTGTACTGGTCATATGAGTTCTTTCTCTGAGATTTATGAGTATTTCTTTGTTGTTTACAATCAGAACTTCAAGAGACTCTCTTTACCATAGGATAGCACAATCAAGACCCCTCTGGACCTTTTTGCATATTGAGTTCCATCATATATTCACATATCTACTTATCAACATCGAAGTCCCCAATCCTACTCTTTCGGTGTTAATTTTGCGATAGTGCTGACCGATTTAATCATTTTCGCGGAAATTAATTCAACCTGAAGTTTGAATATATTTTGAATCCAGAATTTACTTGGTTTAGGTGAAATCAAATATTTACTGAATAAAACAAGTTTTGCTCACCATCTTGCATAACACTGAAAAGCTCATATTTTTGTATTAGAATTCCCTCTAGTATGATTATGACCACTTACCTGTCTGTGGTAGGGATCCCCTCCATATAAAGCTGCACACCTAACACCAGGGTCAAGTTCTTGTATACTTTTGTGTATTTGTAAACATAACTCCCTCGTAGGAGAAATCACAATTGCAACAGGACTCTTAGTTCTGCCCCTCTTTCTGGAGAATCAAAAATTACCTCATTTATTCTTTTGTTTTAGACCAGTAAAATATAGTCATGATTCTACTAGATAAAGGGCAAGTGGTAGAAAATGAAAAGGAAGAAGGAATCACCAGCAGGTTCCCTGCTTAAAAAAGTTGGAACATTTTGCCAAAGAATTTGCACGTTTTCCTGGCATTAGTGTAAGGGATTTTAGATTATCAACAATTGAATATGAAAATATTTTATATGTATTTGCCACATTGTTTAAAATCATTCAAAATCATGTAATGATAAATAAAGTTGGAATTCCCTATTAGGCTTTTATAGTTCCTATGGTTTCAAGGTTTGTCAATGAGTTTTTAATTAAATGATTTGTGGTCTAATTTACTAATATTGTGGTATATATAAATAGTCTTATCCTAAGCAAGAGTTCAATTTATTGCTAATAGAATTAAGGCACTTTCACATGTGCACTAAAAATGTTGAAAAAATATCAACTATAACTCAATCATTGGTGATTTGAATCATGAAAATTCCATAGATTCTCATCACTCAGAACTGCCTAAAGTTAAACTTAAAAACAGATGATATAAAAAACAATTGAATTAACTATATGATCTTACCGTCCTTGTAGTTTCTGTACAATTGGTATGGAAAATGCCATAGTTTTACCACTCCCAGTTAGAGCTCTACCAATAACATCTCTGAAATTATACAATGTATGACTTTAAAATTAGTATGGAAAATGCCATAGTTTTACCACTCCCAGTTAGAGCTCTACCAATAACATCTCTGAAATTAAACAAGGTATGAATTCCTGTATATACTGGAATAAACACTCTTATAATATAAAGGTTTATTTGCTCCCTTATCTCTCTGATCATTTTCTTATTTGATGATCTCAAAGTATTTTGATCATCTCAAAGTATTTTTGAGGTGTTATTTTATTAAAATTGTTTAATTCATATGTATTCATACCTGTTGCCTAATGTATGTGGCAGTGTTTTGGCTTGGATTTCAAATGGCTCCTTATAGCCAAGCTGTTCTAGTCTATTTTTCAGTTTGCCAGAAATTTCAAAGTCTGAAAACTTTAGCCTGAAATGGAAAAACATAAAATTTTGATATGTGAATAACACACATGTCAGTCAAGGCCAACTTAATGATGGTGTAACTCAAGAAAGTGAAGAGTTGTACTCTTCAAAATTAGCAATTATTTAAATGCAGTTGGCCGAAGTTCATCTTATTTTTGATTGGCCAAATTGTGACCTACAACCAATGACATCATCAATCAAGCCAATATATCATCGATTTTTTGATTTGCAGGGTTTATTAAATTCTCTTGAGATGTAGATGTTTTCATTGAGAGAATTTATATTGTTTTCTTACCCTTCAGATGAGGCATGTTGTGTTCGAGCAGCTTCCCGATGTTTCTGTCTCAGATCATCCAAGTCATCTTCATCAACGTCATAGAGTTCATCTTCATCATCTTGATCTTGCTGTACGCGGAAATTACGTGATGACTGAGGATGATGTCTTCGCGAATCATTGTGAATTGAAGCACAGGAGACAACTTGGGTGTACAAGTGACCTTTAATAATGAAAAAATCATTTAGCAAATGAAAATCAAATAAATTTAGCATCATGCATCTGGTTTTATTACTATCTGTCTATCTATGGTTCATTTCAATTGAATTGGTCAATAAAACTTAAACAATACATTAGTCCATTTCACTGTTTAACTGCGTCAGTAAAAGCTAAAAAATAAGAAATCAAAATATCATTTTGCAATAATATATGGAAAAATATATTCCTATTGTATTCGAATGACATTTGTATATCTTGGATAGCTTCTAGTTTGGCTTATAAAGTGTGTGGCCTCTTATATTTGGATGCTTCTCTGCCATGTTACTTTCAATAAGATTAACATGGCTGAAATTCTTCAAATTACAAGACGGCACAGGCTTATTGCACAAAAACTAAAAAATCTGAAATATACAAATGTCATTCATATACACTATGAATATACTTTTCCATATATTATTGCACAATGGTCTCCCAATTTCTTATTTTTGCCTTTCTACTGACACAATGAAGCAGTGAAATGGACTCTAATATGCAAAATGTCACCACCTACATTTGTTACAGACAGTGAATGCTGACTCCAAACCACTAAATACCAGCTGCCAAACACCAACTGCCAAACAATGTCACAAAAAAACAATATGTCACAATTTTTGGTGGTGACACAGCAGCAACCAAAAGACGATAGTGCAATATTATATGGCAAATAGATTCATATTTTATATGCAAAACAATAAGATGACTATATACTGGTAAGTGAAACCTCAGTCACATTTGCTATGGCAACCGTAAGCCATACAGTCTATCATTTTTGTGGCCGGTAACATTCCTATGGTTACCCTAGAATTTCTCTGGTCGGATACTTAAGCAGTTACATTTGCAAGAGCAACCGACAGCATTTTTTGAATTTGTGTAGATGAAAACCTTTGCAATACGACCTTTTAATTTTTGATTTGCCCTGTTTGGGTTTAGGTACTGTAGACTGGGTTGATTTGGTGCCCGCTTTAATTTGGCGAAATAGAAAAAAGCCAATTTACAACTTTGCTAAAATTTAGAAAGGATGCTTGGGAAATTTCCAGGAACTTAATCTGGTGTATTTAGTAGCTTCCAGTTTAGTAGTGGTGGGACTCGTGTGAATTATCCTACTCGAGTAGAGGCTCTTGAACACTCGATTTATTCGCGATTAAAATGAATGATTTTGGAAAAAAGTTCAGAAAAACTTTCTTCGGAAAGTTACAAACTTTCACTTCCGGTAGCAATGTTTTCAAGTGTTTTCGGCTCAACCTACCTTGAATACCTCCAACATACCCATCAAATTATTCAAATAGAATAACTCAATACACTTTATATGTTCTTGTTTTGCATTGAAAAGTAAATAATTTAGCAATTTACGCTAATTGGTTTGACCTCGTTAAATATTGCATTGCACATGCGCAACCGGATGTAATCAATAAATAAAAACAAACACGAGAAAGCCTATCGTATTTGATTTATTATTCCAGTTAAGGTATCAAACTACAATGCTATATATTAAGGAAGGCATCATTGCTAAACATTGTACAGAAATGTTGTACATTGGATGTGTTTTTTATGTAAATTGCGGTTGAAAGGTGGGTAAATCACATTTTCTTCATCATTTTTTTCATTTTTTTTTCAATTCGAGTCAGAATTTACCAATCGATGAATCGTATTTACAGGGTTTGGCGAGTAGTATTCGAGTCCACGAGTCAATCGTTGCTCCACTACAGTTTAGTTTTTACAAAATATGAAAAGAATAAGCGAACATCAATATGATTGAGCATTTCCACAGGGAATTCTTTCAATAATACATTACTAGCTAGATGTAGTTGAATTGATGGAAACATCAGTCCCGTAGCCAGGATTTGCCAAGGGGGGTTCACTTTTTGAAAATTACCAGGGGGAATTCACTTTTGACAATTTTGGTCCAAAAATGGCCAAAATCACTTAAGGTCAGGGTGCATGATGGGAAATTTTCTGCATTCCTCAATTGAGTCACATGTTATTTTTCAAACAAGAATCACTCCTTCCCTTCATTGTCTATATCTTCCAGTTTTGCACAAAGGGTGCACTTCTGTGCCTAGAAAAGACTTGTGAGAAGAATGTTTTGATAAAGTGTATAAAAAACAAGAAAATTCAGTGAAAAAAATCAGAAAATTTTCAGAAATTTTTTTCACTGAATTTTCTCATTTTTTATACATTTTACAAAACAAACCTTCTCACAAGGCTTTTCTAGGCACAGAAGTGCACTCTTTGTGCAAACTTAGAAGATGTAGACAAATTTGGGAAGGAGTTATTCATGTTTGAAAAATAACATGTGACTCAATTGAGGAATGCAGAAAATTTCCCAACATGCACCCTGTCCTTAAAATGTGCTCACGGGCCTGAACATGTAATAATTTGCAGTTAGGCTATGGCTTCTTATTTCTATTGCGACCGCAGAAACAAAAATATTTAAAAAAGTTCTAAATCCAAGTTATAATTTATGCAGCTACTCTAAGGCCTGTAAAAAACTGGATACGACGTGTGGAGACTGCAGATCACAAAGGGACAGTAATCTTCCTGCGGTTACTTTGCATTATTTTCGATAAAATTTGATTGACAGGGAAAAGGTTTATGATGGTCTACTTGAATGACCATTTGAGAAACATTACATGCCGTAACAATCTTTAAGATAATGGCAAAAACAGGAATCACAAACACAAAATAAAAAGCAAGTTTCAAATAATTTTTATATTTTTGGGAAAAAAAATTATGTCATCATCTGACATCAATCTTTATCAACGGCATGCTCTCTCACTCGGCCCTAAATATATTTCGATTGTAAATAAAAAATATAATTGGTATACATACCCTTTCCCGCCCATTGATTTAAGACATTAGATGATCTATTAACAGCATATCCGAAGAAAAATCTACCGAATTTTGATGCTGCACGTGAACAGGAAGTTGCCATTTTACTTAAAAGTACCCGGATGTGGATTGTTTACAGAAGAATTGTGAACGTCTTGATTCTTCGCATTCAGTAGTCTGATAGGGAAACTTTCTAACTTGGCTGTATTGTAAAACTTGTTCATTTGAACATTTCTCAAATACGAACACCTCTTTTTAAGACAATTTTTTGTCCCATTCTTTTAACTTGGCATAGATACATTAATTGAAATGTGAACACCTGCCAATATGATAGTTTCTAAATAGCAGAAAAATCAATGAAATCTGGTGCTGCCATCTTTTATTCAGCTTTTAATTTGGGCTAGAGTTCCATTCACTTACATGCTAAAATCTTGGAAAAGTGGCTTAATTTCACGATTTATCAAAGTGTGTTAGTTGAATCTGTATAAAACTTGAATGATATATCACATGATGACCCTGTTTATGTAAATGTTTTGATTAAAAATGCCAATGTTGATTGACATACAAATAAGCCAAGGTTTTAAAGAATTTTAGCATTGCATCTATGGATATTTGGCCCAAGTTTTTTTAAATTGTCATAGAAAATTATTCAAATTACATAACTGTGTATATCAAAGCTATTGTAGGAGAAAACATTTCACTGAATTCAAATATGCCATTTAAAAGAAGGTAATGTAAGTCATTAGAGGTCTAATATGCAATTCTCTTAAAATCTCACGAAAAACGAGATTTAGTGAGATTTCAAAAGCTATATGAAAACTATACTATTACAAGAACACTTCAGGTGTTCCAATTATACAGGTTTTTAATAAGTTTCGAATATATTTTAAATACAACATAGAACTTCAGAAAATCAGGATGCAATATTTTCATTTGACATAACTGGAAATTTCCTGATCATATTATTTGAAAAAGCAGTCATACTATGCAAATCTATCCCATTTTTTCAAAGTTCTGTATGGCATATTATAGTACATACTTCACAAAGCTCATCCAATAGCAAATAAAAGGAACATTGTTGAAGTCATTTATCACATTATATACATTATATTTACACTTCCTTTTGGTATATACATTAAAATTGACCTTTGAATAAAATAAACACTTGAATTTGTTAAAATGTCTATATTGTGTCTACATTATATACTGAGGATCCATTGAATAACTGCAAGTGACGGCTTGTCTCGCTGTATTTCACTTCAAAAGTCCAATAACTGAAAAATTAAAAAAAACAATTCATTCCTACATCATGGTATGAACCAGGCGAGGCAATTGCCTCACCAGTTTTTACAGAAATATTTCAGACATTTTTGAAATTAAAACTGTTGAAATTAAGTACAAAGGGAGTAACCTCATTAAGCCTTCTTTGCCTCAACTTCATTTAAATAATCAACCTCTATATTCTTGTTCATTTGACCCTACATTGAATATTATAAGTAAGTTTGACTCCAAACATTTTATTAAACAATTAAATTAATTGATTATCAACATAAATGGTTGCAGTTTCACTTCTTTTAAATTACATGTGAATAATGCATTATGGGTACAGCTAAGAATTGTTGGTAGCACAATAACACAATTATAATCATTAATTTGTTTGAGATGCTTTGGACTTACCAGCTGTGGAAGAATCTTCTCAAAATGCTCCTGGTTCACCACTGAAGAATCAGTTTTCTACAAAAGTGAATCAATATGATAAGTTATGATATAAAGAAAGATGTATTGTTCTTAAAAAGAGATCATAGTTTGGGATATTGAGAATTTACTTTCCTTATGATGGTTTACCATGTGATGGTAATGCTCTTAAACATTTTTCTTGCTGTGTTTATTTATATTACTTGCGTTACACCTTCTGGTAGGTTAATTCACGTTTTGACTTTGTGTTAACATTTTTCACATTAAAATATACAAGACTTTTTGAACAACCCTCATACCAACAAACAAACAAACCTGTATTTCTTTTGCAGATCTTACAGCCTCTTCCTCCACATAAGACTTGAGTAAAACAAACTAGATAACGGCAACTCCGCGGAGTAGCAAATCCCAACCAACAAAATATCAATTACCGAATTCAAATCAATTAAACTCATTACTTTGGTTAAAATTGAAAAAATCAGATTTTAGAATTGCGAATTCCTGCAAAGCAACCATTTTGAGGTACAAATCTGAAAAATAATACCATAATTGTGATCTACTCCAAAATTCCTTCAATTTGACTATAATATAGCCATACTTTGAAGGGATCGAAAAATTATTGCGAAATCGTACATTAGACGACCATTTTGAATTTTACGAGGCTCAAATCAGAAAAAGATATTATATTTGCAATCTACTCTTAATTGCCTTTCATTTGAGTATAATAAAGCTATACTTCAGAAAGATCTAAAAATTAATGAAAATCCTGACCCCCCATACACGGCCCCTGGGGGTCAGGATGAAAAACACAGAATATATGTGAAATAGATAAATGTTGTGAATATACTACCAAAATTTCAAACAATAATATGAATTACTTTGGTTTAGAATGAAAAATTTATGATTTTTGCAAAAACGTCCCGTCAAATTTTGAAGCGGCGGCCATCTTGAAAAAGATTTTTTTTACGTGTAACTATTTACCAATATACATCTTTCCACTAAATATGAAGAAAATCCGTCCACTAGTATTTGAGTTATCTTCCGGACGGACGGACAGACGGACGGACTGAAGGACGGAGGGCTTCACTATATCCCTTACCGAACTTCGTTCGTTGGGATAACAAACAAACAGACAGACAAATAAACAAACCTGTGTTTCTTTTGCAGATCTTACAGCCGCTTCCTCCACATAAGACTTGAGTAAAACATGTAGCAAGCTCACAGCAGTTGGTGAGATCTTCATCTTTTTATCTTGCAAGAACTCTTGCACCAATCTTTGAATGGTTGCCTGAAATAAAGGCCAAATTCAGGTTATGTGGCAAATCAAAAAAGAGGGGGTGTCATTCATGTCATTAGACTTAACAAACTATTAATTCTTTATAGGTAAATCCTATAGTGAACAGAAGCCTCCATATGTTATCTATAAAGGTTCCTATATATATGGAAAACTTCCCATTACATGTATCTGTGGTAAATCCACATCTCTCAAATAACCACCCATGGGCCTATTATCAAAAACTCTGGTATAATTCTAAAACTTAAAAATCGTATCTGTTTCATTAATTTTTGGTAATTCTCATAATTAAACCTACAAAAAGTCAAAAATTAATCATGGAAATGTACCTAACTAAATTATGAATAAAACCTGGAACTTTTCACAATATTTCGTTCGGCTTTTCAACGCAACATTTTATAAATGAAGAAATACAAAATATCTGTTTCTTTTGTCTCAATATACTAAAAAACTCAATGACTTTGAAAAATATTGTGTAGCCCTTTTGATAGTAGGATATTTCGACAATCTGAATAACAAGTGGATAACGAGATGAATTAATAAATCGCTTGAAAATCAGCGATGAAAGAGACTCACCTCTTTAAAATACGCGGGTTCCATTTTTCAGATGACCTTCACCCTGCTTGAAAATTGTACATTTGACCTTTGACATTAGGTATGGCATCTAAACGAGAACACGAAAATGGGACACCAGAAAATGACCCTGATAAACGCCGAAAGCAAGTGCGAGTATGGATGGATGGCTGGTAAGCATATACATAAATATTTCAAGGCTATTTTGGCGCATGAATTTCTCAGATCGGCCAGCAATTAGCAAAATGTGAATAAGGTTATGAATTTGACATCTGTCAAACAAACTTCAATCCTCAATGTCAGCTGTTGTTGACAACATTATGGGGTGATGCTTATCAGGTGATAAGTGACCACAGGTTATTGTTGTCTCTTACCCGTATTAGTACCTAGGCTGATTTTTAGACTTACATTTGTACTTTGTGTCATGAAGGTGATTCTCCTCCAAAGAGTTGTCATTGCCTAAAACAGAGATACTGAAATCAGCTTATCCCGTTCCCGGACTATAGTCCTGCACTGATCGCATTCATTTGCCTGTACGATTACAACTTGGTAGAATTATCTACGCCCCTTACACTAAAGATACCTACCTCAATGCATTATAGAACTCAAGATGTAACTTCTAATATATTGGAACCGCCGATTGTCTGGGTATATCGGCAGAACGGGAACATTTTCTCTTTTTCATCGAGAGAGATTCCATCACTTTTCAAAATGGCGGTTGGATTTAAAAGGGGAATCCCCCGTTTGGCTGTCCCGGATGTAGCCCGGAAGTACCAATATGGAGGAATTTGACGGTTGAAATAAGTTAAATGTTACACGCAAATATTGCGATCAAAAACGAAAATGTCTTCGTTCTGCCGATAAACCCAGACAATTGTGGATTCAACTACACGAAAAGAATGCTAAATTACCAAGGAATCTATTGAAGTAGGTATCTGAAGTGTAAGATCAGTAAAAAATTCTCCCATGTTGTAATCGCACAGGCAAAAGATTGAGATGTTCACAGGACCATAGTCCGGGAACGGGATAAAAATCAGCCACTACTGTCAATTGTAAAATGTTTGTTAATCTACATATCCATCTTCGATTTGTCAGGTTGTCAAGGTAACATTGAGTCAAATTTCTCTAGCCTACAAGACAGTGAGATACATGTATCGTATCATTGATATAAAGTAGCCTTATAGATGTGCCACGCCCATTTTTCATACATTTTTAAAGGCCTATTTTGAGCAAAACCTTCTGCTAATATTAGATCCAAGTTGAATATTATCTAGCAAAATACATTCACATTTTACATGCAAAATGTTTGTCGATTGATTGCTTGTGTTTTGGCCAAATCTTATGGCCTCTTACACATGTTATTTTTGAAAATGATTGTACATGTATTTTAAGAAAATGTCTCAGAATCTCCCTAAATTACAAGATAATGTTCACTTTTCCTGTCAATGCAGTGAATCAGCGGAAGAGAATTGTTTTTTAAATTGTCATAGAAAATGATTATAGCTGAAACTCTCTAAATTACAAGATGATGTTCACTTTTCCTGTCAATGCAGTGAATCAGCGGAAGAGAATTGTTTTTTAAATTGTCATAGAAAATGATTATAGCTGAAACTCTCTAAATTACAAGATGATGTTCACTTTTCCTGTCAATGCAGTGAATCAGCGGAAGAGAATTGTTTTTTAAATTGTCATAGAAAATGATTATAGCTGAAACTCTCTAAATTACAAGATGATGTTCACTTTTCCTGTCAATGCAGTGAATCAGGGGAAGAAAATTGTTTTTTAAATTATCATAGAAAATGATTATCACGGAAACTTCTAAATTACAAGATAATGTTTACTTCTATCAATTGCCATGAATCAGGGGAAGTAAATTAAAGAATGGCAGATACCTAGACACTCTCTAACCGTTCTCTATCTTAATCTGCATGGTGATTGACTGTAGCATGTATTTTTATATTTCAGTTTCGATATGGTTCACTTTGGTCATGCCAATGCATTGAGGCAAGGCAAGAGAATGGGAGATTACCTAATTGTAGGGGTACACTCAGACGGTAAGAATTATTACAGCAAAATTATATACAATTGTTGACCCCTTCAGAGGTCAACTGAATAACTCCATGGAACTGTAAGTTAAGATTCAAATCTTGATTGAGGCAAGGTCAAAACTTGATGAAAATTAAATTAAATTGAATGTGATGAGATTGAGAGATGTACTGTTTAACTCCATCAATTTCTCATTAGCAAATGACAAATCAAAGACAATGTCATCAGTCATATTTACCAGTACTGAAATTAAATTGTATTTGTTCTCAGAGGGTGATTTAGCTAGTCAGTGTTTAGTCAGGGTATGTTACATGTATTAAAGCTGGGTTTCACAATACATTTTCAGAGGAAATTACAAAACACAAGGGTCCACCAGTATTCAATGAACGAGAGAGATATAAGATGGTCCGTGCTATTAAATGGGTCGATGAGGTATGTATACTTTCTCACATTGTCAAATTAAAGAATGTCAAAAATCGATAAATCTATATTTAACAAAAAATATATATATTCACAAAAATAAATGCACAATATTGATACATTAAGAAATATCATTTTGATCTTTATAAGTAAGGTTAAGATTAGTCAGATGATAAAACTATTTGAGGATCGGGTTGCAAATTGATTGCGGTATTGAGGAATTACAGGATTAAAAATTACATACAAAATTGTTATTCTTTTGTTTTAGATTGTAGAAGATGCCCCATATATAACAGCAGTGGAGACATTGGAGGAAAACAACTGTGACTTTTGTGCCCATGGAGGTAGGTTGATATGATAGTTGATATGATCTGTAGAGGTAGGTCTGCTTCTTTAACTGAGTTGATATAATCTACAGAGATAGGTCTGCTTCTTTAACTGAGTTGATATGATCTACAGAGGTAGGTCTACTTCTTTAACTGAGTTGATATGATCCACAGAGGTAGGTCTGCTTCTTTAACTGAGTTGATATAATCTACAGAGATAGGTCTGCTTCTTTAACTGAGTTGATATGATCTACAGAGGTAGGTCTACTTCTTTAACTGAGTTGATATGATCTACAGAGGTAGGTCTACTTCTTTAACTGAGTTGATATGATCTAGAGAGGTAGGTCTGCTTCTTTAACTGAGTTGATATGATCTACAGAGGTAGGTCTGCCTCTTTAACTGAGTTGATATGATCTACAGAGGTAGGTCTACTTCTTTAACTGAGTTGATATGATCTACAGATGTAGGTCTGCTCGTTTAACTGAGTTGATATAATCTACAGAGATAGGTCTGCTTCTTTAACTAAGTTGATATGATCTACAGAGGTAGGTCTGCTTCTTTAACTGAGTTGATATAATCTACAGAGGTAGGTCTACTTCTTTAACTGAGTTGATATGATCTACAGAGGTAGGTCTACTTCTTTAACTGAGTTGATATGACCTAGAGAGGTAGGTCTGCTTCTTTAACTGAGTTGATATGATCTACAGAGGTAGGTCTGCTTTTTTAACTGAGTTGATATGATCTACAGAGGTAGGTCTACTTCTTTAACTGAGTTGATATGATCTACAGATGTAGGTCTGCTCGTTTAACTGAGTTGATATGATCTACAGAGATAGGTCTACTTCTTTAACTGAGTTGATATGATCTACAGAGGTAGGTCTGCTTCTTTAACTGAGTTGATATGATCTACAGAGGTAGGTCTGCTTCTTTAACTGAGTTTATATGACCTAGAGAGGTAGGTCTGCTTCTTTAACTGAGTTGATATGATCTACAGAGGTAGGTCTACTTCCTTAACTGAGTTGATATGATCTACAGAGGTAGGTCTGCATCTTTAACTGAGTTGATATGACCTAGAGAGGTAGGTCTGCTTCTTTAACTGAGTTGATATGATCTACAGAGGTAGGTCTACTTCTTTAACTGAGTTGATATGATCTACAGAGGTAGGTCTACTTCTTTAACTGAGTTGATATGACCTAGAGAGGTAGGTCTGCTTCTTTAACTGAGTTGATATGATCTACAGAGTTAGGTCTACTTCTTTAACTGAGTTGATATGATCTACAGAGGTAGGTCTACTTCTTTAACTGAGTTGATATGACCTAGAGAGGTAGGTCTGCTTCTTTAACTGGGTTGATATGATCTACAGAGGTAGGTCTGCTTTTTTAACTGAGTTGATATGATCTACAGAGTTAGGTCTACTTCTTTAACTGAGTTGATATGATCTACAGAGTTAGGTCTACTTCTTTAACTGAGTTGATATGATCTACAGAGGTAGGTCTACTTCTTTAACTGAGTTGATATGATCTACAGAGGTAGGTCTGCTTCTTTAACTGAGTTGATATAATCTACAGAGGTAGGTCTGCCTCTTTAACTGAGTTGATATGATCTACAGAGGTAGGTCTACTTCTTTAACTGAGTTGATATGATCTACAGATGTAGGTCTGCTCGTTTAACTGAGTTGATATAATCTACAGAGATAGGTCTGCTTCTTTAACTAAGTTGATATGATCTACAGAGGTAGGTCTGCTTCTTTAACTGAGTTGATATAATCTACAGAGGTAGGTCTACTTCTTTAACTGAGTTGATATGATCTACAGAGGTAGGTCTACTTCTTTAACTGAGTTGATATGACCTAGAGAGGTAGGTCTGCTTCTTTAACTGAGTTGATATGATCTACAGAGGTAGGTCTACTTCTTTAACTGAGTTGATATGATCTACAGAGGTAGGTCTACTTCTTTAACTGAGTTGATATGATCTACAGAGGTAGGTCTACTTCTTTAACTGAGTTGATATGACCTAGAGAGGTAGGTCTGCTTCTTTAACTGGGTTGATATGATCTACAGAGGTAGGTCTGCTTTTTTAACTGAGTTGATATGATCTACAGAGTTAGGTCTACTTCTTTAACTGAGTTGATATGATCTACAGAGGTAGGTCTACTTCTTTAACTGAGTTGATATGATCTACAGAGGTAGGTCTGCTTCTTTAACTGAGTTGATATGACCTAGAGATGTAGGTCTGCTTCTTTAACTGAGTTGATATGATCTACAGAGGTAGGTCTGCTTCTTTAACTGAGTTGATATGATCTGTAGAGGTAGGTCTGCTTCTTTAACTAAGTTGATATGATCTACAGAGGTAGGTCTACTTCTTTAACTGAGTTGATATGACCTAGAGAGGTAGGTCTGCTTCTTTAACTGAGTTGATATGATCTGTAGAGGTAGGTCTGCTTCTTTAACTGAGTTGATATGATCTACAGAGGTAGGTCTGCTTCTTTAACTGAGTTGATATGACCTAGAGAGGTAGGTCTGCTTCTTTAACTGAGTTGATATGATCTACAGAGGTAGGTCTACTTCTTTAACTGAGTTGATATTATCTACAGAGGTAGGTCTACTTCTTTAACTGAGTTGATATTATCTACAGAGGTAGGTCTGCTTCTTTAACTGGGCTTTTATAATCTATAGAGGTAGGTCTGCTTGTTTAAAGTCAGGAAATCAGATTTAGATTGATGATTTGAAAATGAATCCTCATTCCCCATTCAAAACAAAATGCTGATGAAAAAATATCATGCCCCTAAACTTGATTAAGATAAATATCAGTAAATGTTTTATTTAAATCATGTTAATTGTCCATTGCCAAAAGTATTATTTACAATACATCATTTATTCACACGTGAACACCCAACCTCGTATTATATTGTAACAGTTTGGCCTATTTTTGTGGATATACGTGGTAGCGTGGCTTATAATAGGCCCACTGTTTAGTAAACGGTGTTTACTTGGTGAGTTACACGGCACACGTTAAATGTGCGATTGTCCCTAAAGAATTAAACAGACATATACAATTAAATATAAATATAAAACAGTATATTGTGGCGTTTATAAGCCCAAATAAAGATGTACATTAAATTTCAAGTCTGAATGTAAGAATGTTACGATTTTAATATCTCTCTCAAAACTCACAACTCAAAAGTCCCTATAAGCTAATATTTATCACTAATGAAACAATATCCAGAGTCCATATAAACTAAAGTAGATGATCACTATATACCACTGTTGTATCTCCAATATTAAAAGTTCATATATGTTGTAATACTTGTACGTCTTGTATTGTACTTGTAACTTGAACCTGAAATAGTAATCTCCTGGATCCTCTTCTATGTAGTGTAGTATGATTCAAGTTTGATGATGTGAAATCATCTAAGTCAACTATCAGCTTGGTAAATGGCTATCTCCTGGATCCTCTTCACTGTGTTGTAGTATAATTCAACTTTGATTATGTGAAATAATCTAAGTCAAACTATCAGTTGTGTAAACTCCTAAGTCCTGGATCCTCCTCAATGTGTTGTAGTATAATTCAACTTTGATTATGTGAAATAATCTAAGTCAAACTATCAGTTGTGTAAACTCCTAAGTCCTGGATCCTCCTCAATGTGTTGTAGTATAATTCAACTTTGATTATGTGAAATAATCTAAGTCAAACTATCAACTCTGTAAATGGTTATCTCCTGGATCCTTCTCTCTGTGTTGTAGTATAGTTCAACTTTGATTATGTGAAATAATCCAAGTCAAACTATCAGCTCTGTGAACGGCTATCACCAGGATCCTCCTCAATGTAGATGTATATTCTAACTTCAATGACACAAGATCATCAAAGTCAAAATATCTCGCTGGATAATCTGCTAAGTCCTATAACGCCTATCTGTAGATGTATATTCTAACTTCAATGACCAAAAATCATCAAAGTCAAAATATCTTGTTGAATAAACTGCTAAGTCCTGGAACCTCTTCTCTGTAGATGTATATTCTAACTTCAATGACCCAAAGTCATCAAAGTCAAAATATCTCGTTGAATAAACTGCTAAGTCCCAGAACCTCTTCTCTGTAGATGTATAAGTCAAACTATCACAATCTTCAATCTACCAAGTCCAAGGACGTCTAAAACACGGCATCAACTGCTAAGTCCATGTAGCCTGCTTTCTTCACAATTAAATAATAAGGCTACCTACAAATATAGCATGCACACAACGACATATGCAAAAATATAACATGTGAAAATATTTGACCTCTAAAATGACTAAGTTCATTTAATGTTAAGTGATACTGATATTAAAATATTCTAAGTTCAATATTTCTCTTTCCAAAAACAACAAAGTCCAAAATAATGTTTCACCAAATATTGACTAAGTTAACTTCATGCTAAGTTATACTGATGTTGAAATATTCTAAGTTAAATATTTCTTTATCCAAAAACAACAAAGTCCAAAATAATGTTTCACCAAATACTGACTAAGTCCAATAATGTTGTAAATCGTCTAAGTTCCTTGATGATCAAAATAGCTTGTTTCTCAAACACAAGTTATGTCAGCATTTCCTCTCAGTCTATGAAGGCTGGACAATACGTCTAATGCTTTGCGCTGGGGATAGCTTCACCCTGTCGAAGTTTTGTCCAGTCTTGTAGATCTCCCTTATTTCCAGTGCGGTAAATAAACTAAGTTCCTCTCACTTAGCTACATCAAAGTTTCCCAAAAATCCAAGTTCCAAAATAAACTAAGTTTCGCACACTTAGTTTCCTCAATCTGCCCTTGTATACTGCAAACGTATAGCTTGGCTCATCAGATGTATTCTACTAAGGCACAGCTTCTATCTTCATGTGTATACTGCAAACGTATAGCTTCAAGACCACAAAATCAACTAAGTTCTATAAAACTTAGAAAATTTTAGCTGTTTCCCGAAATTCCGCTCTGGAGGTCCCTCCTCGACAACATCTGGCATCGCACTGACGATCCTTCAACAGCGAGATACTTA